TCTTGAACTCCTGGGCTCAAGCAATCTACCTGCCTTGGCCTCCCAAAATGCTTGAGAGTACAGGTATAAGCCACCGTGCATGGGCCCAGGTTTGGTTATTATTAGTGCTTAGAAAAGGTACCTGCTTACATAGTAGGAGTTGAGAAGCTTTGTTCTTTCCTACTCTTAAATCTATTCTCACCTCCTGATCATGCCCTTTCTACCACATCTATTACCATTACAAGTTGTCTTATCAGAAATTAGTGAATCAGAAAATAAAGCAGGGGATACTTTGTGTGGTTTCAAGGTTAAAAGAGTTCAGAATATTGTCTGTCTAAAATATCTCTCTAGAAGGCCTAGTGGGCCATGACCTGGGCCAGAAGCATTCAGTTGAGAGATGAGAATGGCGGATGTAGGGGCAATGGCCAATGGGCCATGGCCAGAGGGAAATTGTTATAGTGAGAAGCCCGCAAAGACTGGCTCCTGTCAATTTTGCCTTGGTTTGCCCATGTGGTTATTCTTTGTCAACGTTGTCTGCCCAAGAGCTATGCTTGTGAGAGTTGGAAATTGGATGAAAATGTGAAGACTTTTTTTCTTCTCAACAGCTCACAAAGAAAGTGAACAACATAGAGACAGGATGGGCCTTGGGGGCCACCTTTCACCTGTTGCAGTCTCTGGGCATCTCCCATTGAGGCCACGCACTTCCTTCGAGGCCTGCATTTGCCAACAGCCTTTTTAAGGGGAGGAGAGAGGACTTAGTTGCTGAGCTAGTCTGGGGACATCCTGGACTTGAGCCAAGAGAGTTAGATTTAATTAATTTTACACATCTAATGTGAACTGCTGCCTAACCACTCGAATACACAGCTGGCACCAGAGCATCACAAAGAGCCCTGTGAGCCAAAAAGTATAGATTTAGAACTTCACCTTTGAGAGCCCGGGACAGGCTCCTGGGAACCAAAGAAAAATCTCATGTCAACCCTTTGAGTGCCTCATTCTGTTGTATATTTACATTTTCCTCTTAAATGGTAAACTAAGCCTACTTACTGCAATCCCATGATCTATCAACATCAGTACTTTTTTTCCTCCCTATACAGTGCCCTGCCCACCCTCATCTGTATCCACCTCCCCTGAAAAAGAAAAAAATACCTGGTTTTGCTTTCCATGTATAATTCAACAACACAAAGGGAGACCGTATCAGAATCTGTGTGATCCTGTTCTGTGTTAGCTCCCATCAGCCAGCTGAGAGCCATCCTAAGTATTATAGGATGGAGAGTAACTCCTAACTGTGCATAGACTACAGCCTTAAGAAAGGAGGCCACCTTGTCTCTGAGGACATGTTTTGGGAGGGTGTGGCTGCCTCATGTAGCCTACCTTTTCTTTAATCAGCTTTTTATCAGTCAACTCTGGGATTAATGAACATATCTGACATTATGGGTATGTGTGTATTCAGTGCCGGTACCACCTCCCAGGCTAATGTGTTAACAGTGTTTTCTATGATTCTAAACTTGTTTTCTTTGTATTTCTAAGAAATACAAGTAGGCCCTAACTTCTGGTCTGTGGTGAGAGGTCAGTGTCTGTACTATTCCTGGATCTATTATTTCAGTTAGCCCTTTTATTCTCTCCATTTATAACAGTACCTTCCTGTCCTGGCCCCTGATCAGTTTAGCTGATATGCTCTGAATTATTTATCTAGTTCAGAGTTTCCAACACCGTTCCTGACAAAACCCCACTTGGATTTGGTTGGCACTCTCGGCCCACATCAGTACACTGGACCAACATTTCCAGGGAGAACCATATTTAATGTCCCTCATGTTTTCCTTTCTGAATCAAAGTGGTCAGAGCTCTTGACCATGAGTTATTTATCCCAAATTCATTATCTTGCACTTCTTTTGAGATGGAGTCTCGCTCTGTCACCCAGGCTAGAGTGCAGTGGTGCAATCTTGGCTCATTGCAACCTCTACCCCGCCACGTTCAAGCGATTCTCATGTCTCAACCTCCTGAGTAGCTGGGATTACAGGTGCCCACCACCATTCCTGGCTAATTTTTGTATTTTTAGTAGAGATGGGGTTTCCATCATGTTGGGCAGACTGGTTTCGAACTCCTGACCTCAAGTGATCTGCCTGCCTCAGCCTCCCAAAGTACTGGGATTATAGGGTTGAGACACCATGCCCTGCCTTATCTTGTACTTTTGACATAATCATCCTTGCTTCTCATCTGCCCCATAATGCTCTTGGACCTGGAAGATCTCCCTGTGGTCTGGCCCCTTTGCCTTGGCTCTTAACGTCCAGCTTCTTTCCAGGAGTGTTTTTATTTCCCCAAACTTGTGGCTTTCACAGTAGACTCCCTTTTCCATCCTCTCTCTCACAAAGGATGTTAAATATGCCTGGCCCTCAGTCCACGGAGAGCCTTATTTTTTAACATCACTCCATTGAGTCAATAAATAGTTACCATCTGCTATGTGCAAGGAATGAGGCAAATTTCTGTATCCTTGTCCCTGAAATTCTTGTTTTCTTTAAATTCATTGAGGAATTTTCTTCAGCCTTCTCACACTGACTTTTATTACTAAAGTCACCTTTATACCAACTGCCTTCCTGAAAAAATCCTTATAATGAAATAACAGAATATTGAGTTGGAAACAGCCTAAAGAAATAAGCCAATGTTGTACTCAGTGAAGAATTCCCTAGAATTTCGAACAGATTGTCATTCAGCTTCTGCTGAGGCATGTTCAAACAGCTTACTCCACTTGGGACCACACTGATGTTAAAAATTCCTTATACTGAGCTGAAAGCTACCTATCTTCTAAGTGGTCTTAGTTCTGCTCTAGTCTCTCCTTCCAAAATCTTTCAATATTTTGGAAAAAAGCTCCTCCCAAGTTCTTTATGAGTGACATGACTTTTAGACCTCTTTCCATCTTTGTCATAGGGTGCCAGACCAGTCACAGAATACTAAATGTCATCCACGTTTCCTCCAGTAGAAACCAGTAGTTTTACAACAGGTAATCTGTGGGCTTAGTGCGGTGGCTTATGCCTGTAATCCTAGCACTCTGGGAGGCCGAGATGGGTGGATCGCGAGGTCAGGAGTTCAAGACCAGCCTGGTCAAGATGGTGAAACCCCATCTCTATTTAAAAAAAAAAAAAAAAAAGATAATCTGTGTTCATTAAAGACTCTTCCAGCTTGACAAATGCAAAGATGTAGAAATCTCTGGTCTTTAATCATAGCAGGGGCCATTTTGTAAAGCATACATACTGTCCAGTGGACTCCTTTGATCATCCCAGATACCTTCGAACTCTAGGGTAGATGCATTCTAACTCCAGAAACTTATCTATATCTATTTTGTTAATTTTGATTAGACCTTCTGGAGAATTAGCCAATTTGTCCATCATACAAGCAGTTTGGAATGAGAATTTTTTTTTTTTTTTTTTTTTTTTTTTTTTGAGATGGAGTTTCACTCTTGTTACCCAGGCTGGAGTGCAATGGCACAATCTCGGCTCACCGCAACCTCCGCCTCCTGAGTTCAAGCAATTCTCCTACCTCAGCCTCCCAAGTAGCTAGGACTACAGGCGCGCGCCACCATGCCCAGCTAATTTTTGTATTTTTAGTAGAGACGGGGTTTCACCATGTTGACCAGGATGGTCTCGATCTCTTGACCTCATGATCCACCCGCCTCGGGCTCCCAAAGTGCTGGGATTACAGGCGTGAGCCACTGTGCCCGGCCGAGAATTTTTTTTAAAAAAACTTTTTTTCTGTAAGGCCCATCCTGCCTGCAGTAGATCCTTACGGGCTTTTTGTTAAGAGGTCCTACAGATTCTAATAGTTTCCTCTTTGCAAATGTGTTAATATATTTAAAATACTCAGGACATGGCCTGACACATGACAGATGTTGTGTTTAACATCACTGTAATATGAAGAATATCCTTGTGGGTCAGTGGAGGTGTGCCTTGAAATTCTTCATCTTGTCCAATTTTGTTTGCATATTTCTGGAGAGTCTGTGTCCTCCTCACCTAGGCCACCTTTCCATTTTTTGTGAAAGATGACCTTGTCCCCAAAGCCTCCACCAGTAGTCACGTAGCTTTTCACAGCAGCTGCCATCTTTGTCTTTTTCCTGAGATGGCAGGAAGATTATGACATTGTCACTTTTTTGTTGTAGAATCTTTTAAATCTTCTGCATTTGCCTGAAAAGTGCCCCTATAGGAACAGATTTCTCATGGGTCTAAAAATTATTCCCAAGAATCCCTTACTTGGTTCAAAAGCAGACTTGTTTCTCCTCATTTCATCTTCAAATCAGACTTCTGGGCAAGATGTTCTTTACAGTAAGCAAATCCACAACCTAAAAATCTCTTAAAGAGGCATCTCTAGTCTTGTGAAAAGACCTCTTCAAAAACCCACTGTAAAACTCCCCTCCCTCCAGCTGGCCACCAGTCTGCCACCAAACATGAACAAATTCTGCTGCTAATCAGTTTCCCTTGTGATCTGGTTCCTGAGGCTTTTGGATCTGTGCAATGAATTATTTATTTTATTAAACAGACAATGGTGTCCCAGAGAGGAACCATAAAATGGAAATCTGGTGCTGTGATAAAGTAATAACTAGCATTAATATCTGGTTTTCTTTTCAGCAAGTCCAATGTACCTGTAATAAAGGTTAAAGCAATTTATATTTAATTTGCATTCTGATGTTAATTTTTAAACAGCAATTCTAACAAAAATGCATCAAGTGAGTATTTCTAATTCTTACCTCTATCAAAAAACTGTATAAATTTATGACCAGCACTAAATATATATATACACATACATATGTATATATATTTTTTTCTCTTTAGAAATGATTGTTAACAATTAGAAATGAGTGAGACAGCACCTGGTGGGTTGTTTGTTTTAGTAATAAAAAGCTTTTTTCAACCAAATTGTAATAGTCTTCCTTCAAAGTTTTTACCTTTGGTCTGGCTAGTATACTCTCCTCACAGCAAACTGTCATTCATTATTTGGGTGCCACAGGTCCATTAAGTAAAGAAGAAAAAGAATTCTAATGTAAAGTAAATTTATTAAATTAGATCTTGAAAATATGTATGATGGTCTTGTGGCAGGATGTTCTTTTTCATCAACATAATCTTTCTTTAGAAGAGGAGTACTCATTTGCTTGCGAAGGCCATAATCTGTTCCTGGAGAAAAAAGTGAGTGAAACTCTTAACATTGTAAGGTGAAGAAAATAACTTTAAAATATCCAAGGTGATTAAAGCAAAAACTTAGAAAAAGACCATGTAGATATTTTTCCCAAGAGTCCTTTTTATTTCAGCTAAGAAAATATATACTTATATATAAATACACACACACATTTTGGAGACAGGGTCTCGCTGTGTTGACTGGGCTGGAGTGCAGTGTGATCATAGCTCACTGCAACCTCAAACTCCTGGGCTCAAGCAGTCCTCCCTCCCCGGTTCCTAAAGTGCTGGGATTATAGGTATGAGCCACTGTACCCAGCAGAAAAAAAATTTATCTTTAAATGGAAGTTCTCAGGGATGAAACTAGCCAAGCAGCAAAAGGAACTGAAACATCATCATTAGAAAACCCTATTCGTTATTTTTTTCAAGAGACTGGTCCTGCTCTGTCACCCAGCTTAAGTATAGTGATGTGATCATAACTCACTACAGCCTCAAACACCTGGGCTTAAGTGATCCTCTCAGTCTCCTCAATAGCTAGTACTACAGGCATGCGCCACCACACTCCCATTTTTTTTTTTTTTTTTTTGAGACAGCGGCACGATCTCGGCTCACCACAACCTCCGCCTCCTGGGTTCAGGCAATTCTGCCTCAGCCTTCTGAGCAGCTGTGCTTACAGGCACGTGCCACCATGCCCAGCTAATGTTTTGTATTTTTAGTAGAGATGGGGTTTCACCATGTTGACCAGGATGGTCTCGATCTCTTGACCTTGTGATCCACCTGCCTCGGCCTCCCAAAGTGCTGGGATTACAGGCTTGAGCCACCGTGCCTGGCCACCTCCTCACTATTAAGTCCTTCTTATAGGTAAAGTTATTGCTTAGATGTAGGCCTTAACACCTAAAAGCCTAGCAAGTACTTTTTTGCTCATAACCCTTGGGAAGGTAGATATATAAAGATAATTGTACAGCCAACAAAATTAATTCAAAGAAGTTAAGAGCTGTTTACAAAGTCATTCCTCTGTGAGCAACCTCTTACCTTGAGTGGAGACGCTGCATTTGTGGCCTGTAGGCCCCACGTCCTGAGCAACACAAGCGGGGCAGCACTGGTGGAATACAGCCTTTTTAGTAAGTCTGTAGCAGCCAGAAGAGCAGTGTTGTGACGCTGTCGGTCTGTTTCATAACCTGTGAGGTGGCTCATGGAGCCTGAAGGACAGAGGAAAGATGAAATTTCTAATTCAGTAATGTTTCCTTCCCTCTCCTAGCAAGTCAGATATATTTTATATCCACTCCCTCTTGCTACTGTGGGCCATTTTAGGGCCCTGATCTTGCCTAACTATATGACCTCTGGATACTTCTCCACAGTACCTGAATCCTTACCTAAGTCCTTCCCATTGAAGGCTGCCGTACTGAGGTGATGGGCCAAGCTGGAGATATCCCCAAAGCCCATGTTGACGCCTTGTCCTGCAAGTGGATGGACTCTGTGGGCTGCATCCCTAAGAATAAAGCAGAGTTCAGGTGAAACCTCTAGCAGCAAAGTGAGAGGTGAGCGGCCCTGCTCTGTTAATCATCTTACCCAATGAGTGCCACCCGAGGCCTGACGTACTCAGCAGCATGTCCCAACCCAAGAGGAAACAGAACTCGGCTTTTGGCATCCACCCTTGCTACGCTTGGGGGCAGCTGGCGAGCCGAGACCTTAGTGGGCTTCAGAAGGCCAACAGCGTATTGCAGCATAGCGCCAGCTGTGTCGATGAAGTCCGTGTGGTCAGCATCACTCCACTGAGCAGCATCAGCCACAAGACAAACAAGATGAAATTTGAGTAACAGGGAATTAAAAATTCAACAAAGAAACCTTGTTTGTAACCAAAGCTAAGGGTAATGCTACCTAACTTACCTACATTGATCTTGATCACAAGTGATAAGCCCCTCAAGTGCAAAGCTCAACTTCCCATCGCTCCCCACAGGTTTTAGGATCAAGCCAAACTGCACATGAGCTGGTCCTTGCCTACCTGAGCTTCACCTTTCACGAGTCCCCACCCTCAATAACCACGCACCGGCCACAGTGTAGCTCATCATAAAATACCCTTCTACCTACATGACTCTCCTCTGCTTAGAATGCCCATCTCTGTATTTCATTAGGGTAACACCTCAGAGCATCCAGAAGATGCCACCTCTTTTTCTAACTCCTCCAACCTTTGTTTCCTCCTGTATGCTCCCACAGCATCCTGTGCATACTGACATCATTTACGGTCTTCCTCACCTGACTAGTAACTTCCTGAAAGCAGAGACCATTCTCAGTATCTCCAGAGCCTGCTACACAGAAAGCACAATTAATGGTGAATGACTGTACTGCAGAGGTCCTAGACCTCTAAGTAGTACTCAGAGGGGCTACTGTCCACCATGTATCTTGGAATGCACTTAAGTATGTTCAGTTCCTTTTATTCTTGCTACTACAGAGCAGTGGAGTTTCAGTTCTTTGTTATGAAGGTAGCAGGCCTTGAGTGTCATTTAGGCTCCAAAAATAATACTGGTATCCAAAGGCTTTGTCTACTCCAGAATAATTATTAGTATGTTGAGCACCTACAACATGAGTCCCTAAACTGCGGCCCCCTGAGGCCATTTATCCGGCCCCCCGCCGCACTTCAGGAAGGGGCACCTCTTTCATTGGTGGTCAGTGAGAGGAGCACAGTATGTGGCAGCCCTCCAACGGTCTGAGGGACAGTGAACTGGCCCCCTGTGTAAAAAGTTTGGGGACGCCTGACCTACAATGTACTAAAGATATTCTGTGTATTTTTAAAAAGTTCTCTCATTTTCATTCAAAATGAGAGAACTTTTAAAAAATACACGGAGTATCTTTAGTACATTGCGGAGAAGTTGGTGATACTATTTCCATTTTTCAGGAAATTAACAGGTCAAACCAGTATTGAACCCACATCTGTCTACTAAGCTTACTTTTAAGCTCCATGCTGAAATTCGCTCAGCCTTTCCCTGGGAATAGTTCCAATGAAGCAGGCTTTAAAGGTTTAGGTAGGCCAGGTGCAGTGGCTCACGCCTGTAATCACAGCACTTTAGGATGCCAAGGTGGGCAGATCCCCTGAGGTTGGGAGTTCGAGACAGCCTGACCAACATGGAGAAACCCGTCTCTACTAAAAATACAAAATTTGCTGGGCATGGTGGTGCATGCCCATAATCCTAGCTACTGGGGAGGCTGAGGCAGGAGAATCACTTGAACCCAGGAGGCAGAGGTTGCAGTGGGCTGAGATCGTGCCACTGCACTCCAGTCTAGGTAACAAAAGTGAAACTCTATCTCAAAAAATAAAAAAAAAGAAAAAGGTTCAGGTAACTGTAACCTAGCAGAACTGTTCAAAATGATCTAAGTGTTACAGCTTCAAAAAAAGGCCAATGTTAACCACCACCCAGGCAACTGTTTCAGTCAGGCTAACAGCAGCTCCAGACCCTCAAAAGGTTATTTGTTATTTCTATTGTTTTACATTTCCCTGTATGCCCTCCTCCACATTATCCAAACCAACCATTATCATTATGAAGGGACAGATGAATGCTTACTCCTTTTTCCTGACTCAAAATTACTTTTCTGGCTGGGCACAGTGGCTCATGCCTATAATCCCAGCACTTTGGCAGGCCAAGGTGGGCAGATCACTTGAGGTCAGGAGTTTGAGACCAGCCTGGCCAACATGGTGAAATCCCATCTGTACTAAAAATACAAAAATTAGATGGGCGAGGTGGCACATGCTTGTAGTCCCTGTAGTCTCCTGCTGAGGCAGGAGAATCACTTGAACCTGGGAGATGGAGGTTGTAGTAGGCCAAGATCATGCCACTGCACTCCAGCCTGGCAAGACTCAGTCTCAAAAAAAAAAAAACCCACCTTTCGGTATCTCCCCCTACAACACATCATCAGCTGGATAAGTTGATACTCACAAAGGCAGAGTTAACGGCATCCACAAATTGTTCCTCATCCATGCTAACTAGCTCTGCTGCATGTTCATGGGATGTGGACCAAACCAAGGAACTCAAGGTGTCTGAGAGCTGTGTCAAAAGAACACCAATACCAAGGGCTAAGACTCCTTCTGCACTTGGGAACTCTCAAGCATAAAAAGACGAGAAGGGAACATAAAACTAGCCTGGGAATATTCCCTTGAAACCAGAAAAAGGCTGAGAGAAAGTGAAGAGGAAAGGCTGCATGCATGTGGGCAGACTGGCCACAAGGATTCTTACCGGGAGCAAAGCAATGGGCCCAGAGGGAAGAAATCTCTGCCAGGCTACGTTGTTTTCTGTGGCCTGCAACAGAGAGGAGAAGAGTTTCTCTGTGAAGTACCTAGTGCCTATGAAGAGTCTCCAGATGGCAGCTCAGGATCTTACCTCTGATAAATGCAGAGTAGCCACAACAGCTGACTGGTCATAGTTCCAGCTCACATTCTGGATTCCAGCAGCCTGTCGTACTCCCGAGTTGTGACCATCTGCACCTATCTGCATGGACACAAACCTGCTAAGCCTTACAGCCTCTTCCTAAACTGCTTCATAAGTTTTTCTCTGTCCCCTGAAGTTTCCTCCAGCTCTGACTGTTGGTGAGCCCATTCTGTGGCAGGATACTTCCATCAGGCCTGCTTCACTCACAGTCCCTAGAGGCAGAGCCCCTGCATTGTGCCACCTCAGCCTCGGCCAACAGAGCCAAAGCTGGACATGACTCAAAAGGTGCCAGCCATGGGTTAACTCAGCCAGGCTCTCCTGATATTGGAACTACAGCAATGAGGAAAGTTTCAGTATGGGGCACGCATTAGAGCTGAATCGTTCTGATGTACGGTTAGAAATGGCTGCCAAGTAAAAAGGGAAGGTTGTAAGCAGAAAGGAGAAAAATGAGAGGCAGGAGGTCAATGACCACAGACTCCTCAAAGGGAAAGAACAGCCGTCATTCTCAAAACTCCGGTGCCTGCCCTGGGAGGCCCACCGGTCTGTTACTTCACAACCTAAGACAGCCCATGAGATTGCTTCCTTTATAGGATTTACAACGAGACCATCTCAACCTGAGTTGGCTTGAATGGGTACTGGTCTTTATAACCAAAAGCTTTGCCTAAAATTAAACTATAGCTTAGATCTAAAACCAGAGGCCCTAGAATCTAGGATAAGATGTAGATATACAAGACCCCTAGCAAAATAAGAATCAACTACCAACAATTTGGTCTGGAAGGTGCTGCCATCACCTAGGGTAATATGAACCCAAGGGCTGGAGTCTGCCATAGGAAATGGACAAGGCCAGGTATAGCGAATGGCTTTGCTCCTGTAGAGAACCGTCACTCGGTCTGGGGAGGTCAAAAGAGAGAAAAAAAAATTAGAAAGGTGGGCTCCATAGGCTGAGGAAAAAGCTATAGCTAAACCTAAAGCAAGGTCCCAGGATAGCAGTGTCTTGATACTTAAGATTAAGAAAAAAAACAAAAAAAACAAAAAAAAAAAACAAGCAATTAATGCTGTGGTCTGTGAGCTAATAAATGACAGAAGCCACAGAGATGACTCAATGTCAAAAAAAAAAAAAAAAGCATTTAAGTTCTCATTTAACTCTGTCAGAGGCAGTCTTCCTTACTGGCCACATGCTTCTGTACCTCCATTTTTACCCTACATCTACATAAGCCCATGTGTGCTTTCACAGTAGACAGGCTGGGAACACCGTAGGCCGAAACAAATCCTATATTACAAGATTCTGAAATCATTTTATTTTTCTGGTCATAAAAACAATATGCTCTGTGGCCCCAGGCATACTGTAACTACTGTGAGATACCACTTCAATCTCACTAGGATGGCTACAATTTCTTCTTTTCTTTTTCTTTTTTTTTTTTTTTTGAGACGGAGTTTCGCTCTTGTTACCCAGGCTGGAGTGCAATGGCGCGATCTCGGCTCACCGCAACCTCCGCCTCCTGGATTCAGGCAATTCTCCTGCCTCAGCCTCCTGAGTAGCTGGGATTACAGGCATGTGCCACCATGTCCAGCTAATTTTTTGTATTTTTAGTAGAGATGGGGTTTCACCATGTTGACCAGGATGGTCTCGATCTCTTGACCTTGTGATCCACCTGTCTCAGCCTCCCAAAGTGCTGGGATTACAGGCTTGAGCCACCGCGCCCGGCTCTTTTTTTTTTTTTTTTCTTTAGAGACAGAGTCTTGCTGTGCCACCAGGTGCTAGGCTGGAGTACAGTGACGTGATCTTGGCTCACTGCAACCTCCGCCTCCGGGTTCAAGCAATTCTCCTGCCTCAGCCTCATGAGTAGCTGGGACTACAGGCGCACACCACCACACCCAGCTAATTTTTGTATTTTTAATAGAGACGGGGTTTGTTCACCATATTGGCCAGAATGGTCTTGATCTCCTGACCTCATGATCCGCCCGCCTCAGCCTCCCAAAGTGCTGGAATTACAGGCATGAGCCACTGCACCCAGCCAATTTTTTTTTTTTTAAACAGGAAAATAAGTGTTGATGAGGATGTGGAGAAATTGGAATCCTTGGATACTGGTGGGAAAGTGAAACTGTACAGCCTCTTTATGACAAGACCATCTCAACTTGAGTTGGCTTGAATGGGTACTGGTCCTTATAACCAAAAGCTTTGCCTAAAATTAAACTATAGCTTAGATCTAAAACCAGAGGATTTAGAATATATAAAGAACTTCTATAACTCAAAAAGAGAAATAATCCAATTTAAAAACAGGCAAAAGATTTTGAACAGACATTTCTCCAAAGTGGATACACAAATGGCCAGTAAGGACATGACCATATTTAGATCAATATGCTCTATGCACCCAGGCACGGGTAGCTCACGCTTGTAATCCCAGCAATTAGGGAGGCTGAAGCAGGAGGATCACTTGAGCCCAGGAGTTCAAGACCAGCCTGGGCAACATGGTGAAACATCTCTAGAAAAAATCAGCCAGGCATGATGGCATGTACCTGTAGTGCCAGTTCGTCAGGAGGCTGAGGAGAGAGGATTGCTTGAGCCACTGCACCCCAGCCAGGAAGGACAAAGCAAGACCTTGTCTCAAAACAGAACAAAACACTCTCCAAAAACATCAGACTGTATACATCATTTACAGCTTTTTCTATGTCAGTCATATCCTCAACAAAGCGATTTAAATAACAATAGTGAGCTAGCTGTAAAACTTGGGAAGACAAAGAAAGGTTAAGGGGGCGGGGTCGAATCACCCTTAATCAAACTACTCAGAGACAACTGCAGTTACAGCTTTGGTGTATAGCTTTCCTATGCATGTACATGCACACACACACAAGTGTGATCATATGACCCAATATATTACAGAATAAATTTCTAAGTTATTAAATTTTAGATCCAAATTGTCTTTAAAAGCTGCATCATGGTTCATTACATGAACTACTATCCAAAATCAAAAAGCATTTAAGTTGCTTCCAATTTGTCTCTCTACAACACCAAGATATCTGCAAATCACATAACTGATAAATTTATATTCAGAATATGTAAAGAGGCCAGGTGAGGTGGCTCAAGCCTGTAATCCCAGCACTTTGGGAGGCCGAGGCGGGTGGATCACGAGGTCAAGAGATCAAGACCATCCTGGTCAACATGGTGAAACCCCGTCTCTACTAAAAATACAAAAAATTAGCTGGGCATGGTGGTGCATGCTTGTAATCCCAGCTACTCAGGAGACTGAGGCAGGAGAATTGCCTGAACCCAGGAGGCGAAGGTTGCGGTGAGCCGAGATCACACCGTTGTACTCCAGCCTGGGTAACAAGAGTGAAACTCTGTCTCAGAAAAAAAAAAAAAGAATCCCAGAATATGTAAAGAACTGTAAGTCAAAAACAAATAATCCAATTTAAAAACAGGCAAAGATTTTGAACAGACATTTCTCCAAAGTGGTACACAAATGGCCAGTAAGGACAGGAAAAGATACTCAGCATCATTAGTCATTACGGAAATGCAACCACAACTACCATAAGATTATCACTTCACTCTCACTAGGATGGCTACAGTATTTTTTTTTTTTTTTTTTTTTGAGATAGAGTTTCGCTCTTGTTACCCAGGCTGGTGTGCAATGGCACTATGTCAGCTCACTGCAACCTCTGCCTCCTGGGTTCAAGCAATTCTCCTGCCTCAGCCTCATGAGTAGCTGGGATTACAGGCATGTGCCACTATGCCCAGCTAATTTTGTATATTCAGAAGCGACAGGATTTCTCTATGTTGGTCAGGCTGGTCTTGAACTCCTGACCTCAGGTGATCCACCCGCCTCAGCTCCCAAAGTGCTGGGATTGCAGGTGTGAGCCACTGCGCCCAACCGGCTACAATTTTTTTTCTAAAAAAGGAAAACAAGTGTTGGTGAGGATGTGGAGAAACTGGAACCCTTATATACTGGTGGGAAAGTGAAATTGTACAGCCTCTTTAGAAAAAAAGTTTGGCAGGGCCGGGCACGGTGGCTCAAGCCTGTAATCCCAGCACTTTGGGAGGCCGAGGCGGGTGGATCACAAGGTCGAGAGATCGAGACCAACCTGGTCAACATGGTGAAACCCCATCTCTACTAAAAATACAAAAAATTAGCTGGGCATGGTGGCGCGTGCCTGTAATCCCAGCTACTCAGGAGGCTGAGGCAGGAGAATTGCCTGAACCCAGGAGGCGGAGGTTGCGGTGAGCCGATATCGCGCCATTGCACTGCAGCCTGGGTAACAAGAGCGAAACTCCGTCTCAAAAAAAAAAAAAAAAAAAAAAAAAGAAAAAAAGTTTGGCAGCTTCTGAAAATGCTGAACATAGAATTACTATATGACCTAGCAATTCCACTTCTAAGTATCCAGCCAGGAGAAATGAAAACATGTCCACACAAAAACTTGTACACAAATATTCATAGCATTATTTACAATTGCCAAGTGGAAACAGCTCAAATGTCTATCACTGACAAATAGGTAAGCAAAATTTGGCATATCCACAAAATGGAACGCTATTGAACAACAAAAAGGAATCAAGCTGATACAAGCTACATGGATGAATCTCAAAAATACTATGCTCAGTGAGGAGTCAGACACAGATGAATACATGTTATATGACTCCATCATATGAATTGTCCAGAATAAGAAAATCTAGAAAGACAGAAAACAGATTAGTAGTTGCCAGTGGCTAGGGGTGGGAATGGAGAATGAATAAATAGGTTTCTTTTTGGGGTGATGGTTGTGGAACTCTATAAATACACTAAAAGTTACTGAATTGTACACTTAAAATGGGTGAATTTTATGGCATGTATAACTGAGTAAAATTGGTTTTAAAAAAAAAAAAAATCCTGGCTGGGTGCGGCGGCTCATGCCTGTAATTCCAGCACTTTGAGAGGCCAAGGTGAGTAGATCACTTGAGATCAGGAGTTCAAGACCAGCCTGGCCAACATGGTGAAACCCTGTCTCTACTAGAAATACAAAAATTAGCCAGGCATGGTGGTGGTTGCCTGTAATCCCAGCTACTTGGGAGGTTAACGCAAAAAATGGCTTGATTTCGCCACTGCACTCCAGCCTGGGTAACAACAGCAAAACTCCATCTCGAGGGGGGAAAAAAAAGAACAACCATGAAATAATCATCAGAGGATTTCTCTATGGTGGACACTGAATATCTGTAAAAGAGATCCTTTCTTTCACTAAGTCCTAAGCAGTTCACTTCCCAATGAATTCAAGATGGAAGACGGGGGCCTCACCAGACACAGCCTCCAGCTGCTTAGTGAGAGCATGCATGATGACATCATTCTCCACGATATAGCCCATGTCATCTAAATTATCTTTATCAAACATTATCAGGGCCTCTGAGCAGGCATCCCACACCTGGAAACAAAATGAGAGTTTGCATTAAGACCAAGAAGGAAACATCATTCCAATCAGAAACAATATTGCCTTCCAAAGTGACCAAGGAAAAAACCACAATTTGTCAGACTCCCTGGCAGAAAAACATAAAATAATATGAAAATTCTCCTGGGAATGCTTCTCCCCACTTCCTCGTACTGAATGTGAACCTTATCTGATTCTTCCTACATTCACAGAACACTTGGAGAATGTGAACTCAGATATCTTAACACAAGACCGACCAAGACATCTTAACAAAACTGAAAAAGATAAAGGGGCACCTGCATTCGCCGAAAGGCTCTGTATCTCATGTTGCAGACATGGTCCCAGGCACCAAAACCTACAAAAGAAAGGATCTGTAGACCAGAGTGACCTCACAGAGACCTGGGCTTCCCCTTTGTCCCTCCATCCTGTTCCACAAGAGGCTGTTTTCAGTGTTCTTTAATAATACCCTCCACTTCTATTTTGTTTGATGTTAGCACCAACATGAAAAAAGACCCAGCTTCCATGATCAAAAGGCCAAATCATTTAAAGGGGAAATAAAAAAAGAAAACCAAACCTGTATTGTTCTTTCTTCATCATCTTATTGAAATTATAAACTTCCTAAAGACAATTTTAAATTATTTTTACAAAGTGATTTCTAGTAACTTGAAACCTTTTTTTTTTAAGATACAAGGTCTCAGTATGTTGCCCAGGCTAGACTTCAACTCCCAGGCTCAAGCAATCCTCCCATCTTAGCCTCCCAAGTGGCCAGGACTACAGGTACACATGACTGTGTCTGGCCTATTTTTTATATTTTAGTCCTTCACAGCACTGAACAGATTCATTCATTGAGGAACTATTTACTGAGCACCTACTATGTGCCAAATACAATAGAGTGGGAAAACAAATGGACAAAGTCCCTGCACTTCTGCAGTTGACATTATAACTGGAGAGATGGACAATCAAAAACAAACACATAATGCCAGGTAGTAGTAAGCACTATGGAAAAAAAAAAAAAAAAAAAGCAGAGAAAGGGGCTAGAAAGTGATAGAAGAGTTTAATTTGAGATGGTGTGGTTTCAGACAGGATGGTCTGAGGGAATCATCTAGCAGACCTAAGGACAATTTGCTCAGTGGCTCCATGTGCACACATTCACCTGAACCCCAGGAACATTTCACATGCAAGCTCCTTAGCTTGCTAGAGGGCTAGACTCAGGATGAAAAGGGCACTGCTATTCGAAGTGCATGTACATAATTAGTTCATATGATTTCAGTTCCACCAATTCATAATGATATAACATCACACGTGAAGTCAACATGATGGACCCACATGCCTCAAGGATGTATTCCTCAGACAGGGAGTTGATTCAGTAGCAATTTCAACTATGCACTAGACTACCAAACCCACCCCCTTCTCTCCACCCACCTCAATGAGCTCCCTCATCAGATGCTCTGATGTCTCTGCCCCATGGGACATATTAGGAAGCTGAGGGGGAAAGGAGATTGGATCTTTGAAGGAGGATCTTCTACTCACTACTGAGAAGCGTTGCAGAGCCAGGGGAAATGGAGCTGACCCTGTTGCTGTAAGTTTCTGACAATTTCTCCAATACTTTCTTTGGACCTGCTTCTAGCAACAGGATTTTCTTGTCATGAAAGTGAATGTCATATCCTAAAAAAAGGAAAAAAAGCAAACATCAAACATTTTGACATTTTAGTAAAATCATTTCCTTTCCCATTACCAAGAGAAACAACAGAGTAACTACTTAACCCTTAGAATATGAATTTCTTACAGAGTACATAAACACTATATCCATGCAGAGTCCTAAGCAATAACATACGCCACCATGTCACTCATAAGAAGCATGCTGCCCACAACTGTAAGCCTTCTTCAAACACCACTACATGCCGCATGCCAAGAAGCAAATAACGGCAAACACCTAACTAGCAAACAGAACACACTAGAAAGGAAAAATGAAGACTACAGTATTTATTTATTTTTTTTTATTTTTTATTTTTTTTGAGACGGAGTTTCACTCTTGTTACCCAGGCTGGAGTGCAATGGCACGATCTCGGCTCACCGCAACCTCCGCCTCCTGGATTCAGGCAATTCTCCTGCCTCAGCCTCCTGAGTAGCTGAGATTACAGGCACGCGCCACCATGCCCAGCTGATTTTTTGTATTTTTAGTAGAGACGGGGTTTCACCATGTTGACCAGGATGGTCTCGATCTCTTGACCTCGTGATCCACCCGCCTCGGCCTCCCAAAGTGCTAGGATTACAGGCGTGAGCCATGGCGCCCGGCCAGGACTACAGTATTTAAACACCAGTTATTTTCTGTCTCCAGAGTATTAAGTCACTAAAAATTACAATTCCTGGTCAAAAGAAAAAGTGGAATAAATAAGCAAAATTCAATGCAGTCTCAAGATTAAACCAAGAATAAAGAATTAGAGTTTATAAAGGCTGGGTGTGGTGGCTCATGCCTGTAATCCCAGCACTTTGGGGGGTCAACGCAGGCGGATCACCGGAGGTCAGAAGTTCAAGACCAGCCTGGCCAACATGGTGAAACTCTGTCTCTACTAAAAATACAAAAAAATTAGCCAGGTGTGGTGGCGGGCTCCTGTAATCTCAGCTACCTGGGAGGCTGCACCAGAAGAATCGCTTGAACCTGGGAGGCGGAGGTTGCAGTGAACCGAGATCGCGCCACTGCACTCCAGCCTGGTCAAAAAGAGTGAAACTCCATCTCAAAAAAAAAAAAAAAGAAGAAGAATTAAGAGTTTATAAAAGAAAAAGGTTGGCCAGGCATGGTGGCTATGGTGGCTTATATCTGTAATCTCAGTATTTTGGGAGGCTTAGGTGGGAGGATCATTTGAGCCCAGGACTTTAAGACCAGCCTGGGCAACATGACAAGACCCTGTCTCCACAAAAAAAAAAGTTTTTAAAAAAGAAAAAGTTTTAAAAAAACTAGCCAGGCGGCCGGGCATGGTGGTAATCCCAACACTTTGGACGGCCTAGGCAGGTGAGGTCAGGAGTTTGAGACCAGCCTGGCCAACATAGTGAAACCCTGTCTCTACTAAAAATACAAAAATTAGCTGGGTGTGGTGGTGCATGCCTGTAATCCCAGCTACTTAGGAGGCTGATGCAGGAGAAATCATTTGAGCCCAGGAGGCGGAGGTTGCAGTGAGCTGAGACTGTGCCACTGCACTCCAGCCTGGGGAACACAGTGAGATTCCAGCTAAAAAAAAAGAAATAGCCGGGCATGGTGGCACACCTGAGCCAAGTTTGTGCAACTGCATTCCTACCTGGTGGACAGAGCAAAAGCCTGTCTCAAAAAAAAAAAAAAAAAGAAAGAAAGAAAATAAAGAAAGTGGCAGTTACTAATTATTATTATTATTATTATTATTATTTTGAGATAGAGTCTTGCTCTGTCGCCCAGGCTGGAGTGCAATGGCGCGATCTCAGTTCACTGCAACCTCCGTCTCCCGGGTTCTAGCAATTCTCCTGCCTCAGCCTCCCAAGTAGCTGGGATTACAGGGGCATGCTGCCACCCTGGTTAATTTTTTTGTATTTTAGTAGAGGCAGGGTTTCATTGTGTTACCCAAGCTCAGGCAATCCACCTGCCTCGGCCACCCAAAGTGCTGGGATTGCAGGAGTGAGCCACCGAGCCCAGCCGATTTTTTTTTAACTTTAAAAATAAAAGATTAGGTCAGACACAGTGGCTCACGCCTGTAATCCCAGAACTCTGGGAGACAGAGGAGGATGGATCACTTGAACTCAGGAGTTCGAGACCACGTGGGAAACATGGTGAAACCCTGTCTCTAATAAAAACAAAACAGCCAGCTGTCATGGCGGGTGCCTGTGGTCCCAGTTCCTAGGAAGACTAAGACATGAAAATCACTGGAACCTAGGAGGCAGACTGTTGTAGTAAGCTGGGATCCTGCCGCTGCACTCCAGCCTGGGTAACAGAGGTGACAGAGCAGAGACTGTCTCCAGGAAAAAAAAAAAGCTCCAGCCATACAGACAGCAAGCTTTTGCTGTGGAGGATAGGGCACAGGGACACCCTCTGTAGAGGGCATTGTCTTCTTTTTCTTTTTTTTTTTTTTTCCTGAGGCAGAGTCTCCTTTTGCCCAGGAGTGTAGTGGCGTGATCCCAGCTCACTGAAACCTCCACCTCCCAGGTTCAAGTGATTCTCACACCTCAGCCTCCCAAGTAGCTGGGACTACAGGTGCGTACCATAATGCCTGGCTAATTTTTTGTATTTTTTTTTTTTTTTTAGTAGAGATGGGGTTCACCATGTTGGTCAGGGTGGTCTCAACTCCTGACCTCAGGTGATCCACCCGCCTCGGCCTCCCAAAGTGCTGGGATTACAGACATGAGCCACTGTGCCTGGCCAAAGGGCACTGTTTTCTAGTCCCACATACCTCTGCCCTTAATCTAAGGCAAGCTTGTCCAACTATGGCCCAGGACGGCTTTGAATTCAGCCCAACACAAATTGATAAACTTTCTTAAAACATTATGAGGTATGTGTGTGTGTTTAAGCTAATCAGCTATTGTTCGTGTTTGTTACGTGTGACCCAAGACAATTCTTCTTCCAATGTGGCCTGGGGAAGCCAAAGGTTGGACACCCTGATCTAAAGTCAGCTGCTCCACCCTATGATCCTCATCTCACAGGATATGCAAAATTTAACTTAAAGCAGATCATACATTTCTGTAACAGCTAAATCCATAAAATACTTAGAAAAAAGCCCAAGTAGTAAATCTTTGTGACTTTCTTAGCTATGATACCAAAAGCGCAAATGATAAAAAGACTGATACGCTGGACTGCATCAAAATTTAAAACTTTTATGCTTCAAAGAACATTAGCAAGAAAGTAAAAAGACTACAAAATGGAGGAAATATTTGCAAGTAATTTATCAGATTAGGGACTTGTATACAGAATAAAATAATGGTTAGGCAGGGTTGCTCATGCCTGTAATCTCGGCACTTCGGGAGGCTGAGGCAAGTGGATTGCTCAAGCCCAGGAGTTTCAGACCAGCGTGGGCAACAGAGTGAGACCTCATCTCTACAAAAAAAAAAAAAAAAAAAAAGAAAGAAAGAAAAGAAAAACCAGCCGCGTGATGGTGCATGCCCGCAGTCCCAGCTATGCGGGAGGCTGAGGCAGGAGAATCCATTGAGCCCGGGAGGTTGAGGCTACAGTGATCTATGATCGTGCCACTGCAGTGCAGCCTTGGCACAGAGTGAGATACTGTCTCAAAAAATAAATAAAAATAAGTTAAAAACCGTGCAAAGGGTCTAAACAGGCATTTCTCCAAAGAAGATACACAAATGACCAATAAGCATTGGAAAGGCTATTCAACATCATTAATTTAGGGAAATACAAATTAAAACCTGGAGATTCCACTTTACACCCAGTAAAGACAATGACAAGTACTGTCCAGGATCTGGAGAAACTGCAACTCTCATATATTTAAAAAACCCTGGAAAGGCCTGTTTTCCCATGAGGACCCACTCAGAACGCCCCTCCCACTTTTGACCCTAGGGGACCCTGAACGACCACACGCATTACGGCCGGCCCTGGGGTTCCTCTAGGAGGGTAGGGGAGAAGCGTCGCGAGACCCGAGCACCTGTCTATGAGCAAGCAGTGCTAGGGCCTCCACGGCTCTCATCGTGCCTCTGCGGCCCGGTTCCCCGCCACTAGTAGCCTGGAGAGGAGCTTACCCAAGGCACAGGCCATGGCAGCGCCCACCAGGCCTCCACCCGACACCACCACGTCGTACACAGTGTCTGTTGAGGTGCCGGACCACCTGCGACAGGACACCAGCAGGCTGCCATGGACAGCTGCACGTACAGCGTCCCATCGTGTCACAAGCCTGGCCGCCATGGTGCAGACGTGCGGGGTCGCACTCGGGACCCCAGCAGGCCCACCTAGGTAGTGCTTCCGGAGCAGAACCCTCCAATCCCGTCCCGCTTCAGCGGCGTCCTCAGAACCGGAAATAAAATGCAGAGAGAATAGGCCAATCGGAAATCGAACCCTGCTGTGGGTGGGGCTGCCCTGGAAGCCAATCAGACACCAAAGCTAGAAAGCGGCGGACCCTGGCAACTATAGCCAGCGCTGCCACCGCTGCTGCCACTATCGCTGTCATCATCGCTGCTGACTCTGCCCAGCTGAAATGACCGTGGGGAGGACTGAGGGAGGCCCCGGCGGCGTGGAGGGGAGCCGTCAGGTGAGGAGAGAAAGAGAACAGAGGAAGCAGGACTGCCCCCCGGAAAGAGATCCCAGAGAGGAAACTGTTTGTCGTTGCCTTGGAGACAGACTGCAGGGGCGTGGGATTAAAATGACTGTTTAGAGACCAAGAGGCGGACTCTGACTTGGAGACCTGTACCTCTTGGACCTTATACGCGGCTCTTCATAGGACCATAGCAATGTCACTCAGTTTTCGCTTATCCTCTGAGTATTCGTTGATCAGTAGTACAATTGCCGTCCCATTTTTGTAGAAGAAAAACCTGAGGCACAAAGAGGTTAAGAAAATTGCACTCAAATGTGGCCGAGCGCAGTGACTCACGCCTGTATTCCAGCACTTTGGGAGATCGAGGCGGGTGGATCACCTGGGGTCAGGAGTTCGAGACCAGGCTGGCCAACATGGCGAAACCCTATATCTACTTTAAAAAAAAAAAAAAAAGTGGCCGGGCGCAGTGGCTCAAGCCTGTAATCCCAGCACTTTGGGAGGCCGAGGCGGGTGGATCACAAGGTCAAGAGATCGAGACCATCCCGGTCAACATGGTGAAACCCCGTCTCTACTAAAAATACAAAAAATTAGCTGGGTATGGTGGCGCGTGCCTGTAGTCCCAGCTACTCAGGAGGCTGAGGCAGGAGAATTGCTTGAACCCAGGAGACGGAGGTTGCGGTGAGCCGGAGATCGCGCCATTGCACTCCAGCCTGGGTAACAAGAGCAAAACTCCATCTCAAAAAAAAAAAAAAAAAAAAAAAATTTGCTTGGCGTGCTGGCGGGCATCTGTAATCCCACCTACTGGGGAGGCTGAGGCAGGAGAATCGCTTTAACCCAGGAGGCAGAGGTTGCAGTGAGCTGAAATCACGCCATTGCACTCCAGCCTGGGCTACATAAGGAGACTCTGTCTCAAAAACTAAATTAATTAATTAAATAAAAATAATTAGGGCCGGGCGCGGTGGCTCAAGCCTGTAATCCCAGCACTTTGGGAGGCCGAGGCAGGTGGATCACTAGGTCAAGAGATCGAGACCATCCTGGTCAACATCGTGAAACCCCGTCTCTACTAAAAATACAAAAAATTAGCTGGGCGTGGTGGCGCGTGCCTGTAATCCCAGCTACTCAGGAGGCTGAGGCAGGAGAACTGCCTGAACCGAGGAGGCGGAGGTTGCGGTGAGCCGAGATCCTGCCATTGCACTCCAGCCTGGGTAACAAGAGCGAAACTCCCTCTCAAAAAAAAAAAAAAAAAAAAAAAAAAAAAAAAAAAAAAGCCGGTGTGGGCGGGGCGTAGTAAAAAAAAAAAAATTATCCACCGGGCTCATGCCTATAATCCCAGCACTTTAGGAGGCCGAGGTAGTTGGATCACGAGGTCAGAAGTTCGAGACCCGAGCCTGGCCAACAGTGAAACCCCATCTCTACCAAAAATACAAAAATTAGCTGGGCGTGGTGGCGCAGGCCTGTAATCCCAGCTACTCAGGAGGCTGAGGCAGGAGAATCGCTTGAACCTGGGAGGCAGAGGTTGCAGTGAGCCGAGATTGGGCCATTGCACTCCAGCCTAGGCCACGACTGTCTCCAAAAAAAAAAAAAAAGTTTAGAATAATTAGCCAGATGTGGTGGCGTGTGCCTCCAGTGATCCACACGCCTCAGACTCTCAAAATGCTGGGATTACTCCCAAAGTGAGCCACTGAGCCTGGCCAACCCCAAATTATTAAAGACAGAAAGTAGTCTGGTAGTTGCTTAGGACTGGTGGGGCGTGGAGGGTTAGGGGAAATAGGGAATGAGTACTAAAACGTATGGAGTTTTTTTTTCTTTCTTAATTTGAATAAATGTAAATACATAATAATAAAGAGGCACCGGCCTCCCCGAGGCTCCCAGGCCCGGGCAGAGGGGAGGCCTGGAGTTTCTTTTAGGGGCTATGAAAGTGTTCTAAAATTGTGATGGTAATTGCAGAGGGGAGGCGTGGAGTTTCTTTTAGGGGCTATGAAAGTGTTCTAAAATTGTGATGGTAATTGCACAACTCTGTGGGTATACTAAAAATCACTGAATTGTCCGCTTTAAATGAGTGAATATATTGTAAATAAATTATATCTTAATAAAGTTGTCTTTTAAAAAAAGAGAAGTTTGCCCAAAAGATGGCACATTCTTCAGTAGAAGAGTGAGGGCTAGGACGCATACATACCTCTGACACTTACCCTGGATTTTAGTAAGGCTGGCTCCTCATCAATCAGGTGTCAATTCAAAATTTCTCCACAGTGAAAAATAAAAATCAGCCCAGGACTGAGAAAGTATAACTCATAGACTGTCATAGGCACAGATAATGCCAACAGCAAGAGCATCAGAAAACAGTGATTCTCTCAGAGCCATACCATAAGTACACCCCTTCTTCCAGATGATAATGCTTACTGATCAATTACCCACCCTATTTTATTATTCTCACCTTTTGAATAAGAATTGCCATTAGGCAGGGTGCAATGGCTCACACCTGTAATCCCAGCACTTTGAGAGGCCAAGGCAGGTGGATCACGAGGTCAGGATTTCAAGACCAGCCTAGCCAAGATGGTGAAACCCTGCCTCTAATAAAAATACAAAACAAATTAGCAGGCATCTGTAATCTTAGCCCCTTGGGAGGCTGAGGCAGAGAATTGCTTGAACCTGGGAGGCAGAGGTTCTAGTGAGCCAAGATTGCATCACTGCACTCCAGCCTGGGTGATAGATTGAGACTCCATCTCAAAAAAAAAATTACTCATTCATTCACTTACTAAATTGTCCCCACTTCATGACAGCACCATTCCAGAGTTGATACCTGGTTCCCCGAATAAATCAGGAAAGCGAACCCTGTAAAAATCACACCCCCGACCCTAAGTTCCCTACGGTTTTCCATAGTGTCCTACAGCAAGGTAATAAACCTAACTGATGTACTGATTACAGGTACATTTTTAGTAGCCTTAACCTGATGGACTTTATCAACCAAAAAGCTTTCCATAGGCACTCCAACTTTTTATAATCTCATGGTTGTTTATGGTTTTCACAGAATTTATTATCTTATATTGTCTGTCTCCTCTCACTACAGTGTAAGCTTCATGAGAGTAAGGACCTTGTTTGTCTTGTTCTCAGCTAAATGCCCAGTGCACATCAGGCACACAGTAAATATTTTATGAATCAATGGAGTACTGAAAAAGTTAATTGGCTGTCCCACTTTTTTTTTTTTTTTTTTTTTGAGACGGAGTTTCACTCTTGTTACCCAGGCTGGAGTGCAATGGTGCGATCTCAGCTCACCGCAACCTCCGCCTCCTGGGTTCAGGCAATTCTTCTGCCTCAGCCTCCTGCGTAGCTGGGATTACAGGCACGCACCACCATGCCCAGTTAATTTTTTGTATTTTTAGTAGAGACGAGGTTTCACCACGTTGACCAGGATGGTCTCGATCTCTTGACCTCATGATCCACCTGCCTCGGCCTCCCAAAGTGCTGGGATTACAGGCGTGAGCCACCGCGCCCGTAATCCCACTGCACCGGGCCCAGCTGTCCCACTTTTTAGGACATTGCTCTTCCAGCCAGACCATACTGTCTCTCTTGTTAATCATCCATTCCTTTTTTTTTTTTTTTTTTTGAGATAGAGCTTCACTCTTGCTTTCCAGGCTGGAGTGCAATGGCGCAATCTCATCTCACTACAGCCTCCACCTCCTGGGTTCAAGTGATTCTCCTGTCTCAGCCTCCCAAGTAGCTGAGACTACAGGACCCACCCAGCTAATTTTTGTATTTTTGTAGAGACGGGGTTTTAGCATGTTAGTCAAGCTGGTCTCGAATTCCTGATATCAGGTGATCTGCCTGCCTCAGCCTCCCAAATTCTGGGATTACAGGTGTGAGCACCGTTCCCAGCCTTCATCCATTCCTTGACAGAGTGCAGATTAGCTAGAATGTGAGGAAAGCAGAGAAGTAGAGACAAGGAAAGGGGGAGAAGGAAGATGAGCAAGAAGTAGGTAAAACACAAGTTAGGCAGAGTGTGGCCATTGCCAGGTTGTCACAGGCAGGATTCCTGGAGTGCAGCGGTCAGAATACATGGTGCAGTTGAGGTACTCTAAAAGCTTACCGCATTGTATGGCGCAGGGAACCAACTTCAGCTCTTCACTCCCCTTCCTTCCTTTCAACCAAGCGCACTTCATAGACCAAGTTGTGAAATTTATTTAAAGCAAGAAACACAGCTTATTTTTAAAAATTCCTCCCCAGTCCCTAACATACAGAGGCTTATTCAAAGTGAAACTGTTATGTTTTGAATACTTTTGAAATTATTGTTTGACCCACAGTCTATTTCTATTCTATTTTAGATATTTCCCCGCAAATCCTCCTCGGACACAGAGGCAGCAGAGGAGCTGTCTGGGCATGGGCTGGTTTTGCCCAGGGCTGGCAAACTTGATGAGTTCCTCAGCCCAGAGGAGGAGAGAGATTCTACTTCTGACTCAACTGGACGCTTTTACCAGACCTTACAGGTACTAAAGCAGAAAGGCAGACCATGTCTGTTGGAGTCTCTCTTTCAATCTGACCCAGATAGTGATGAAAACCTCTCTGAAGATGAGGAGGACCTGGAGAGTTTCTTCCAAGACAAGGGCAGGGGGAAGGTGCAGGCCCAGTGCCCCCGGGCTCTGAGGTAAGGCACCGCAGTCGCACAGCTGCCTCACGCCACACCTCCACACATTTCACACCGTGTCTCTGGGCTTCATCTTCTTCTGTAAAGTGAAGCACACTTTCCGCAAGTTGCCGTTTACTGAGGCTCCAGCTCACAATCAACTTTTGGCTCCAAACAGGGGTTCTGATTCCACCCCAGGAATCCTGAATCACTTTGGGCAACCCTTAGTCCAGGGATGCACTGAAATTAATTAAAGGGAAGCCTTTCCTCAGGTCCGGTGGCTCACGCCTGTAATCCCAGTACTTTGGAAGGCCGAGGCAGGCAAATCACTTGAGGTCAGGAGTTTGAGATCAGCCTGGCCAACATGGTGAAACCCCATCTCTACTAAAAATACAAAAATTAGCCAGGTGTTGTGGCAGGCACCTGTAATCCCAGCTACTCGGGAGGCTGAGGCATGAGAATCCCTTGAGCCCGGGAGGTGGAGGTTGCAGTGAGCCAAAATCACGCCACTGCATTCCAGCCTGGGTGACAGAGTGAGACTCTGTCTCAACAAATAAAAATATAAAAAATATAGGGAAGCCTTTCTTAAACACACTTTCCCTGAGAATGACAACACAGTACGTTTATCTTGGTCAAGTCTTTCTCCTCCAATACCCTGGTAAGTAGACATTAATTTTTGCCATTCTACATAGGAAGAAACTGAGGTTTTAACAGTACATTGCTCAAAATTTGAAGCAAGATTTAAACCCAGGTCTGTTTGCCTCTAAAGCTCTACTTTGCTCATTGTCTGTTCTCTCATGAAATACTAGAGTGCAGGCCAGGCGCGGTGGCTCACGCCTGTAATCCCAGCACTTTGGGAGGCTGAGGTGGGTGGATCAAAAGGTCAGGCGTTCAAGACCAGCCTGGGCAACATGGTAAAACTCCATCTCTACTAGAAATTCAAAAAAATTAGCTGGACGTGGTGGCGCATGCTTATAATCCCAGCTACTCAGCAGGCTGAAGCAGGAGAATCGCCTTAACCCAGGAGCAGGAGGTTGCAGTGAACTGAGATCGTGCCACTGCACTCCAGCCTGGGCAACAGAGCAAGACTCCATCTCAAAAAAGAAAAAGAAAAAGAAATATCCGAGTGCAAAGTGGCAATTCTGTGATCAATTCTGAGAAAATTCTGAGAAGAGACTTTCCGTTAGGGCTGCTAGGATTGTCTGTGGGAAGGTTATGGGTATAGAGGCCTTTGGGCGTGGTGTTAGGCCAAGAGGCCAGCTGTGACCAATGGGAGGGAGAACAGGGGAGGAGGTCTGGAGGGAGGTCTGGAGGGAGTGGGGCCTCCTGACTGCCCGGTCCTCCACACACAGATCTGCTTTCTTCCCAGGAGTGGCTCCACAAGGCGCTGCAGCTCCCTGAGCAGCCTTCCCTCCAACATTCCCAGGGCTCAGACCCAGCCCCGCTCAAGCTCGAGGCCTCCCTCCCAGCACAGAAGTGTCAGCTCTTGGGCATCATCCATCACTGTCCCTCGGCCATTCCACATGACGCTGCGCGAGGCCCGGAAGAAGGCCGAGTGGCTGGCCTCGCCTGCCTCCTTTGAGCAGGAGAGGCAGCGGGCCCAAAGGCAGGGTGAGGAAGAGGCCGAGTGCCATAGGCAGTTCCGGGCCCAACCTGTGCCTGCACATGTCTACCTGCCCCTCTACCAAGAGATCATGGAGAGCAGCGAGGCCCGAAGGCGGGCAGGGATCCAGAAGCGGAAAGAACTGCTCCTCTCTTCTTTGAAGCCCTTCAGCTTCCTGGAGAAGGAGGAGCAGCTAAAGGAAGCTGCTCGACAGAGAGACTTGGCTGCCACAGCTGAAGCCAAGATCTCCAAGCAGAAGCCCACCAAAAGGATCCCCAAGTCCATTTTGGAGCCAGCCCTTGGGGATAAACTCCAGGGTAAAGACGTCCTTGCCACCTTGCCACCTCCTGCCTCAGGGTCCCAATCCCACCATAGGGGTTTTTTTTTTTTTTTTTTTTTTAATCTTAACCTCACTCACCTCTTACACTGTAGGGATTTAGTCAGGGCCCGGGGGTTGGCCTGGCTTGAAGATGCGCTGCCTGGGTGGACCCACTAGAGACTGCACGCTTAGTGCAGGCCATCAGGGAGGGTTAGGTCTGTCTCTACAATCGGGAGCCCTCTATGGACCAAGGAGTGAGAGGTCCCACAGTGTCCCCAAGGCTCATCCTGTTGACATCTGAGTAAGTGCACATGACGGCCTCTGCACCAGCACAGGTGCGGGAATTGAGAACTAGTGGGACACTCAAGGACCAGCTCAGGCTCACACCACCACCAGCACACTACCCTGAGATGCTCCCCACGTCTCCTTCATCGTGGTGACGTAGTGTCAGTTGCTGAAAAATTACCTCGGGGATGATTTTTTTTTTTTTTTTTTTTTGAGACAGAGTTTTGCTTTTGTTGCCCAGACTGGAGTGCAACGGTGAGATCTCAGCTCACCACAACCTCCACCTCCCAGGTTCCAGCGATTCTCCTGCCTCAGCCTCCCAAGTAGCTGGGATTACAGGCATGCACCACCAAGCCCAGCTAATTTTTTGTATTTTTAGTAGAGATGAGGTTTCTCCGTGTTGGTCAGGCTGGTCTCGAACTCCCGACCTCAGTGATCCACCTGCCTCGGCCTCCCATAATGCTGGGATTACAGGCGTGAACCACCGCGCCCAGCCAGGGGGATGATTACACATTTCAAAAAGTAGAGCTCCAAATAAGGGGCTCAGGCTTTCTTCACTCTTCAGTAGCATATACCATGCTCCAGGCACTGTTCCACGGTGAACAGACATGGACTTTGTAGACATGTGAGGAAAACAGATAAATACATACAAATGTGATGAGATATTTATAAGGATTAAAGGGGGAAGCATGGAAGCATATCTCAGAGGGACCTAACCCGGGGTTTGGTGAAGGAAGAGAGTCGTTAGGGAGGGTCCCCTGAGAAAGTGGGCCCTGGGGCTGAATTGAAGGAGGGGCCAAGAGGGAGGAAAAGGGGAGTAAGCAGAATGTACCAGGGAGGGGAGAGAAAGTGGAGCATCTGCAAGGGATGGAAGGGTGGAGGCTGAGAGAAGAGGGAGTGGGAAGGGAGAGGCAGGCACAGGACACACGTGGAGCCTTGCAAGCCACGTTAGGAAGTCTGGACTTCATCCCAAGGGTACAGGAGAGCCACTGAGGGATTTAAGCAGGGTGGCCCATGACCAGAAATACAGTTCAGAAGGGTCCTTCTGATTGCTGTGAGGATAATCCAAGAGGCAGCAAGACTGGAGGGTGTTGAGCCAAAAGGAAGCTACTTCGCAATTCAGTTGGGAAATCAATGCAGCTGGGGGCAGGGATGAAGAAAAGAGGATGGGCTGGAGAGAGGTTGAAGAGGAGGAAATGACAACTTGTGACTGATGAGAGAGACAGAAGAGTCAGTGATTTGGTCAAAGGGCTTGGGCAGCTGGGTAGCTGGTGGGGCCTTTCTCTAAGACGGGGAAACCTGAGAGAGGAACAGGTGACTGGCCCACTTCCTCCTGCTTCATCTCTGAAGAAATCATAGGAAGTGCTCAGTAAGTGTAGACGGTCGCTGCTTCTGCAGCCCGATTGGCACAGGCAGTGGTGTTCTGGATGACATTTATCAACAAGCTCTCCAGAACAAAAAAAGCAAGCTGTTTTGTAATGTTTGTTATTTTCTGTGGTATAAATACTCCTATCAAGGCCATCTGCAAGCATCCCACAGGATGTTAACATGTGTCAGAATTCCTGAAAAGTTCATAGTTGCCTCCAGTACACTTAGGGCTAGTGTGTAAAAGGGAAAGTCCTCCAACCCTGTAGCTTTCATGCTTGGTCCTTTCTTACCCATCACCATCCTTTCTCCACAGAAGCTGAGCTATTCAGGAAAATTCGTATCCAGATGAGAGCCCTGGACATGCTCCAGAGGGCCTCTTCCCCTATCGCCTCTAGTAACAGGGCTAACCCACAGCCCCGCACAGCCACCCGGACCCAGCAGGAAAAGCTTGGGTTTCTGCACACTAACTTTGGATTCCAGCCTCGGGTGAATCCTGTGGTCCCTGACTATGAGGCCCTTTACAAGGCCTTCCAGAGAAGAGCAGCCAAAAGAAGAGAAACCCAAGAGGCCACTCGCAACAAGCCCTTCCTGCTGAGGACTGCCAACCTGCGCCACCCTCAGCATCCCTGTGATGCCACCACCAGCAGAGGCAGGACGGTGAGAGCCCAGGCAGCTGTGGTAGGGTCAGGGCTGGAGCCTGAAGTGCAGGGTGGGTCCAGGTCTGACTGGAAAGCATTTCTCAACATTTTCCTATCTTTTTTTTTTTTATTTTAAAACGGAGTCTCACTCTGTTGCCTAGGCTGGAGTGCAGTGACGCAATCTGAGCTCACTGCAACCTCCACCTCCTGGGCTCAAGTGATTCTCCTGCCTCAGCCTCCCAAGTAGCTAGGATTACAGGGGCCTGCCAACATACCTGGCTAATTTTTGTATTTTTAGTAGAGGCTGAGGCAGGGAGGCTGAGGCAGGAGAATCGCTTGAGCCTAGGAAGCAGAGGTTGCGGTGAGCTGAGATTGCGCCACTGCACTCAAGCCTGGGTGACAGAGTAAGATTCTGTCTCAAAAAAAAAAAAAAAAAAAAAAGGTCTTGCCGGGCGCGGTGGCTCAAGCCTGTAATCCCAGCACTTTGGGAGGCCGAGGCGGGTGCATCACGAGGTCAAGAGATCGAGACCATCCTGGTCAATATGGTGAAACCCCGTCTCTACTAAAAATACAAAAAAATTAGCTGGGCATGGTGGCGCGTGCCTGTAATCCCAGCTACTCAGGAGGCTGAGGCAGGAGAATTGCCTGAACCCAGGAGGCGGAGGTTGCAGTGAGCCGAGATCGCGCCATTGCACTCCAGCCTGGGTAACAAAAGCGAAACTCCATCTCAAAAAAAAAAAAAAAAAAGAGAGAAGAGAGAGAGAGAGAGAGATAGAAAAGGCCCAGTGCAGTGGCTCATGCCTATAATCCCAGCACTTTGGGAGGCTGAGGTGAGTGTATCACCTGAGGTCAGGAATTCAAGATCAGCCTGGCCAACATGGCAAAACCCCATCTCTACTAAAAATGCAAAAATTAGCCAGGTATGGTGGCTCACAACTTGTATAGTCCCAGCTACTTGAGAGGCTGAAGTATAAGAATCGCTTGAACCAGGCAGGTGGAGGTTGCAGTGAGCCAAGATTGTGCCACTGCACTCCAGCCTGGGCAAAAGAGTGAGACTTTGTCTCAAAAAAAAAAAGAAGAAGGAGGAAACTAATCACACATGCTGTCCCACCATACCAGTCTTTGTTTCTTCTAGGATTCCCCACAGCTGCCAGCTACACCCCTGCCAAGGAGTCGTTCTCTGAACGGCCTTGCCTCCCTCTCTGCCAACACTCTCCCTGTGCACATCACAGATGCCACCAGGAAGAGGGAATCTGCAGTCAGGTGAGTGCTCAGGCTGCATAAGACCCATGCTTTGATTCTGGCCCCAAATGCTGGAAACCTCCCTGCTGAGGGGCCTCCTTTTCTGTTGTCAGAGGCATCTTAAGGGGTCAAAGGGAATTTTCTGATTAGGACAGGAGCAAGTGCAGTTCTCCACACCTGGTGCTGGAGAACAGCTAGCCAGCATTCAGCACATATGCACCGAGGGCTTATTCTGTACCAGCAACAGTGTTAAGGCTGGAGATCTTAGGGACCCTATGGTTTATTATCTAGTCTGAAATACAGAAAAGCAAAGAAGCAATGGCTGTATTTTTTGAGTACTGTAATGATGCGGGGTACAGGGAACTGTGAGAGCATTGGGCAGGCTGGAGCAGGGGTGTCTTGTCTTGTGGAATAGATGTCTAAAACGAGATCTGAAGAACCAGGATGAGTTGGCCAGACAAAGCCTGGAGAGAGAAGGAAGGCTCGAAACAGAGAGAACCTGGATAAAAGCCCATGGGTGAGAGGAAGGGAGTTGTGAGGAACAAGAACTCAGAGAAGCATGCTAGCAGGTGGCTGAAGCTGCTGCAAAGATGAGACATCCATTGCACAGATTTGAGATTCTCTGAGATTCATCTTGGGGAGATGTCAGTCAGTTGGGCAGCAAGAGCCTGCTTATTTTAACTCTTCAGCTGACCTGACTCTGTTACGATGTTCTCATTGAGCCAGCCCCCAGGAGGAGTCCCTACACTAGGCTTCTGAGCCAAAGTAGGCAAGAGAGTTCATGGTGTAAAGAGCAGCTTAGCCCAGGGAGAGGACTCATGTCTTACCTTCCTATGGGTCTTGTAGAGGAGTACTCAGAACCTACTTGGGTCCTTAAGCCTCACAACAGGGATCATAGAAAACTATTTACGGTCCAAGAGATACTTCTTCCTTCTTCAAACTTCGGTTAGACCTACCAAACCAGGGCCAACTGCTCAGTATCCTGAGAGCCCCAAAACACAGGCCTCATGAACAAAGAGGGTGGCCAACCTATAGAGGATATCCACATCTGCATTCCAGCCACAGGGAATCTGACATATTAGCAGATTAAATTTTCATGTTGTTCTTCCTAGTCTGTCCATTTGAGTGTAAACATCCAAATATGAGTCTTGATTGATTTTCCTTTTGGAAGAACTCAACATATTACATTGTAGATAACTGAACAAACTAAGTGCTACAAATTGAACCCAAATAGTCTGCACTGAAGGAGGCTTATTTTCCAGTTCTCTCTGAATTTGTATTCTCAAAGGACCATGAACCCCGGCACCTTCCAGCCTACTGTTCATAGCAGAGTGGTCAAGGGCAGAGGCTTGGGAGTCAGAGATCCTGGTTCCAATAAGGGCTTTTCCACTGACATGCTGGGTAGCTTTGAACAAGTGGCTTACCTCCCTTGAGCCTCAAGCTTCTCTTCTATAAAAAGGGGAGTTAGGCCGGGTGCAGTGGCTCAGGCCTGTCATCCTAGCACTTTGGGAGCGCAAGGCAGGTGAATCACCTGAGGTCAAGAGTTCAAGAACCAGCCTGGCCAGCATGGTGAAACCCTGTCTCTACTAAAAATACAAATATTAGCTGGGCGTGGTGGTGGGTGGCTCTAATCCTAGCTACTGAAGATACTGACGCAGGAAAATCACTTGAACCCAGGAGGCGGAGGTTGTAGTGAGCGGAGATGGCACCACTGCACTCCAACCTGGGTAACAACAGCAAGATTCCATCTCATTAAATAAAAAAAAAAAAAAAAAAAACAGCGGCGGGGGGATTTAGTATTTACCTTATACGGGAGTTATGAGGACTACATGAAATGGTTGGAGAGGGATCCAAGATGGCCGATTAGGAGCATCTCTGGATTGCGGCTCCAAGTGAGAGCTCAGAGGCCACTGCAGGTGATCCCAGGCAAGCAAGGTCTGGAATGGACCTCCAGCAGTCCTACAGCAGAGGGGCCTGACTGTTAGAAGGAAAACTAAGAAACAGAAAGAAATTACTTCATCTTCAACAAACTGGACATCCACTCAGAGACCCCATCTAAAAGTCACCAACTACAAAGACCACAGGTAAACAAATCGACAAAGATGGAAAGAAACCAGTGCAAAAAGGATGAAAATACCCAAAACCAGAACGTCTCTCCTTCTCTAAGGGATCACAACTCCTCACCAGCAAGGAAACAAGGCTGGATGGAGAGTGAGTCTGATGAATTGACAGAAACAGGCTTCAGAAGGTGGGTAATAAGAAACTTCTCTGAGCTAAAAGAACATGTTCTAACCCAATGCAAAGAAACTAAGAACGTTGAAAAAAGATTTGATGAAATGCTAATGACAATAAACAGCTTAGAGAGGAATATAAATGATTTGATGGAGCTGAAAAACACAACAACAGAACTTCGTGAAGCATACACAAGTTTAAATAGCCGAATTGACCAAGCAGATAAAAGGATATCAGAGGTCAAAGATAAACTCAATGAAATAAAACAAGAAGGCAAGATTAGAGAAAAAAAGAGTACAAAGAACTGAACAAAGCCTCCAAGAAATATGGGATTGGCTGGGCACGGTGGCTCAAGCCTGTAATCCCAGCACTTTGGGAGGCTGAGGCGGGTGGATCACGAGGTCAAGAGATCGAGACCATCCTGGTCAACATGGTGAAACCCTGTCTCTACTAAAAAATACAAAAAATTAGCTGGGCATGGTGGCATGTGCCTGTAATCCCAGCTACTGCGGAGGCTGAGGCAGGAGAATTGCCTGAACCCAGAAGGTGGAGGTTGCAGTGAGCCAAGATTGCGCCATTGCACTCCAGCCTGGGTAACAAGCGAAACTCCATCTCAAAAAAAAAAAAAAAAAAAAGAAATATGGGATTATGTGAGAAGACCTAATCTACATTTGATAGGTGTAACAGAATGTGACAGAGAGAATGAATCCAAGCTGGAAAATACTCTTCAGGATATTATCCAGGAAAACTTCCCCAACCTAGCAAGGCAGGCCAATATTCAAGTCCAGGAAATACAGAGAACAACACAAAGATATTCCTAAAGAAAAGCAACCCCAAGGCACATAATCGTCAGATTCACCAGGGTTGAAATGAAGGAGAAAATGCTAAGGGCAGCCAGAGAGAAAGGTCGGGTTACCCACAAAGGGAAGCCCATCAGACTCACAACTGATTCTCAGCAGAAACCCTACAAGCCAGAAGAGAGTGGGAACCATGTTTCAACATCCTTAAAGAAAAGAACTTTCAACCTAGAATTTCATATCCAGCCAAACTAAGTTTCATAAGCAAAGGAGAAATAAAATCATTTACAAACAAGCAATTACTCAGCGATTTCATCACCACCAGGCCTGCTTTACAAGAGCTCCTGAAAGAAGCACTAAACACAAAAGACACAACCAGTACCAGCCACTCCAAAAACATACCAAATGGTAAAGAGCATCAACACAATGAAGAAAATAAATCAAATAACAGGTAAAACAACCAGCTAGCATCAAAATGGCAGAATCAAATTCACACATAACAATATTAACCTTCAATGTAAATGGGCTAAATGCCCCAATCAAAAGACACAGACAGGCCAGGCATGGTGGCTCACGCCTGTAATCCAAGCACTTTGGAGGCCAAGGTGTGCGGATCACCTGAGGTTGGGAGTTCAAGACCAGCCTGACCAATATGGTGAAACCCCATCTTAAAAAAAAAAAAAAAAAAAAAAAGGCCGGGCACAGTGGCTCAAGCCTGTAATCCCAGCACTTTGGGAGGCCGAGGCGGGTGGATCACGAGGTCAAGAGATCGAGACCATCCTGGTCAACATGGTGAAACCCTGTCTCTACTAATGGTGCAAAAAATTAGCTGAGCATGGTGGCGCGTGCCTGTAATCCCAGCTACTCTGGAGGCTGAGGCAGGAGAATTGCCTGAACCCAGGAGGCGGAGGTTGTGGTGAGCTGAGATCACGCCATTGCACTCCAGTCTGGGTAACAAGAGCGAAACTCAGTCTCAAAAAAAAAAAAAAAAAAAAAAAGAACTTGCTTTATGTATCTGGGTGCTCCTGTATTGGGTGCGTATATATTTAGGATAGTTAGCTCTTGTTGCATTGATCCTTTTACCATTATGTAATGCCATTCTTTGTCTCTTTTGATCTTTGTTGGTTTAAAATCTGTTTTATTAGAGACTAGGATCGCAACTCCTGCTTTTTTTTTTTTGCTCTCCGTTTGCTTGGTAAATCCTCCTCCATCCCTTTATTTTGAGCCTATGTGTATCCTTGTATGTGAGATGGGTTTCCTGTATGTAGCACACTGATGGGTCTTGACTTTTTATCCAATTTGCCAGTCTTGAGCCACCGCGCCCGGCCCATAAAGCAAGTTCTTAATGACTTACAAAGAGACTTAGACTCTAGCCGGGCGCGGTGGCTCAAGCCTGTAATCCCAGCACTTTGGGAGGCGGAGGTGGGTGGATCACGAGGTCAAGAGATCGAGACCATCCTGGTCAACATGGTGAAACCCCGTCTCTACTAAAAATACAAAAAAATTAGCTGGGCATGATGGCACATGCCTGTAATCCCAGCTACTCAGGAGGCTGAGGCAGGAGAATTGCCTGAACCCAGGAGGCGGAGGTTGCGGTGAGCCGAGATCACGCCATTGCACTCCAGCCTGGGTAACAAGAGCGAAACTCCGTCTCAAAAAAAAAAAAAAAAAAAAAAAAAGAGACTTAGACTCCCACACAATAATAGTGGGAGACTTTAACACTCCACTGTCAATATTAGATCAACGAGACAGAAAATTAACAAGGATATCCAGGACTTGAACTCTGACCTGGACCAAGCAAACCTAACAGACATTTACAGAACTCACCACCCCAAATCCACAGAATATACATTCTTCAAAGCACCACATCACACCTACTATAAAATCGACCACATAATCGGAAGTAAATCACTCCTCAGCAAATGCAAAAGAACGGAAATCATAACAAACAGTCTCTCAGACCACAGTGCAATCAAGTTACAACTCAGAATTCAGAAACTAACTCAGAACCACACAACTTCATGGAAACTGAACAACTGGCTCTTGAATGTTGACTGGATAAACAATGAAATGAAGGAAGAAATAAAGATGTTCTTCCAAACCAACGAGAATGAAGACACAACATACCAGAGTCTCTGGGACACATTTAAAGCAGTGTCTAGAGGAAAATACATAGCAATAAATGCTCACATGAGAAGCAAGGAGAAAAAAAAGAAAGAAAAAGAAAATGCCGGGCGCAGTGGCTCACACCTATAATTGTAGCACTTTGGGAGGCCGAGGTGGGTGGATCACCTGAGGTCAGGAGTTCAAGACCAGCCTGACCAACATGGTGAAACCCCATCTTTAAAAAAAAAAAGAGAGAGAGAAGCAAGGAGAGATCTAAAATCGACACCCTATTGTCAAAATTGAAAGAGCTAGAAGAGCAAGATCAAAAAAATTCAAAAACCTAGCAGAAGACAAGAAATAACTAAGATCAGAGCAGAACCGAAGGAGTCAGAGACACAAAAAAACCCTTCAAAAAATCAGTAAATCCAGGCGCTGGTTTTCTGAAAAGATCAACAAAATAGACCACTAGCCAGATGAATAAAAAATTAAAGAGAGAAGAATCAAATAGGTGCAATAAAAAACGATAAAGGGGATATCACCACAGATTCCACAGAAATACAAAACACCATCAGAGATTACTACAAACAACTCTATGCATATAAATCAGTAAACCTGAAAGAAATGGATAAATTCCTGGACACTTGCATCCTCCCAAGCCTAAACCAGGAAGAAGTCAAAGCCCTGAATAGACCAATAACAAGGGCTGAAGTTGAGGCAGCAATTAAGAGCCTACCACCCAAAAAGCCCAGGTCCAGATGGGTTCACAGCTGAATTCTACCAGACATACAAAGAGGAGCTCGTACCACTCCTTCTGAAATTATTCCAAACACTCCAAAAAGAGGGAATCCTTCCCAAATTATTTTATGAGACCAACATCATCCTGATACCAAAACCCGGCAGAGACTCAACGAAGAAAGAAACCTTCAGGCCAACATCCATGAGGAACATAGATGCAAAAATCTTCAGCAAAATACTGGCAAACCGATTGCAACAGCACATCAAAAAGCTTATCCACCATGATCAAGTAGGCTTCATCCCAGGGATGCAAGGCTGGTTCAACATACGCAAGTCTATAAATGTAATTCACCACATAAACAGAACCAAAGACAAAAACCACATGATTATATCAATAGATGCAGAGAAGGCCTTTGACAAAATTCAACAGCCATTTATGCTAAAAACTCTCAATAAACTAGGTATTGACAGAACGTTTCTCAAAATAATAAAAGCTATTTACAGCAAACACACAGCAAATATCATACTAAATGGGCAAAAACTGCAAGCATTCCCTTTGAAATCTGGCACTAGACAGGGATGCCCTCTCTTACAACTCCTATTCAATATAGCATTGGAAGTTCTAGCCAGAGCAATAAGGCAAGAAAAAGAAATAAAGAGTATTCAATTGCAGGCGACATGATTGTATATTTAAAGACCCCATCATCTCAGCCCAAAATCTCCTGAAACTGATGAGCAACTTCAGCAAAGTCTCAGGATACAAAATCAATGTGCAAAAATCACAAGCATTCCTATACACTAATAACAGACTTAAAGAGAGCCAAATCAAGAACGAACTGCCATTCACAATTGCTAAAAAGAGAATGAAAAACCTAGGAATACAACTAACAAAGAATGTAAAGGACCTCTTCAAGGAGAACTACAAGCCACTGCTCAACAAAATAAGAGAGGACACAAAAAGATGGAGAAACATTCCATGCTCATGGTTAGGAAGAATCAATATCGTAAAAATAGCCATACTGCCCAAAGTAATTTACAGATTCAACACTATCCCCATCAAGTTACCTTCTTCACAGAACTGGAAAAAAACACCTTAAACTTCATATGGAACCAAAAGAGAGCCCGCATAGCCAAGTCAATTCTAAGCAAAAAGAACAAAGATGGAGGCATCACACTACCTGATTTCAAACTATACTACAAGGCTACAGTAATCAAAACAGCATGGTACTGGTACCAAAACAGAGATATAGACAATGGAACAGAACAGAGTCTTGGAGGCAACACCACACATCTACAACCATCTGATCTTTGACAAACCTCACAAAAACAAGCAATGGGGAAAGGATTCCCTGTTTAATAAATGGTGTTGGGAAAACTGGCTAGCCATGTACAGAAAGCAGAAACTGGATCCCTTCCTGACACCTTACACTAAAATTAACTCCAGATGGATTAAAAACTTAAACATAAGACCTAACACCATAAAAACCCTGGAAGAAAATCTAGGCAAAACCATTTAGGACATAGGCGTAGGCAAGGACTTCATGAATAAAACACCAAAAGCATTGGCAACAAAAGCCAAAATAGGCAAATGGGACCTAATCAAACTCCAGAGCTTCTGCACAGCAAAAGAACAGTCATTAGAGTGAATTGGCAACCAACAGAATGGGAAAAGAGTTTTTGCAATCTATCTATCTGACAAAGGGCTAATATCCAGAATCTACAAAGAACAAAAACAGATTTACAAGAAAAAAACAAGCCAGGCGGGCATGGTGGCTCATGCCTGTAATCCAAGCACTTGGGAGGCCAAGGTGGGTGGATCACCTGAGGTCGGGAGTTCAAGACCAGCCTGACCAACGTGGTGAAACCCCATGTTTTTTTTTTTTTCTTAAGAAAAAAAAAAAGAAAAAAGAAAAAAACAAGCCCATTCAAAAGTGGGCGAAGGATATGAACACACACTTTACAAAAGAAGACATATATGAGGCCAACAAACATATGAAAAAATGCTCATCATCGCTGGTCATTAGAGAAATGCATATCAAAACTACATTAAGATACCATCTCATGCCAGTTAGAATGGCGATCATTAAAAAATCTGGAGACAAACAGATGCTAGAGAGGATGTGGAGAAATAGGAACACTTTTACACCATTGGTGGGAGTGTAAATTAGTTCAAATATTGTGGAAGACAGTGTGGCGATTCCTGAAGGACTTAGAAATAGAAATTCCAGCTGGGCGCGGTAGCTCACGCCTGTAATCCCAGCACTTTGGGAGGCCAAGGCAAGTGGATCATGAGGTCAAGAGATCGAGACCATACTGGTCAACATGGTGAAACCCCGTCTCTACTAAAAATACAAAAAAAAAAAAAAAAAAAAAAAAGAATCCATTTGACCCAACAATCCCATTACTGGCTATATATCCAAAGGATTATCAATTGTTCTGTTATAAGGACACATGCACATGAACATTCACTGAAGCACTGTTTACAATAGCAAAGACTTGGAACCAACCCAAATGCCCATCGATGATAGACTGGACGGGGAAAATGTGGCACACATACACCATGGAATACTATGCAGCCATAAAAAAACGATGAGTTCATGTCCTTTGTAGGGACATGGATGAACCTGGAAACCATCATTCTCAGCAAAGTGACACAAGAGCAGATAATCAAACACCGCATGTTCTCACTCATAGGCGGGTGTTGAACAATGAGAACACAAGGACACAGGGAAGGAAGCATTACACACTGGGGTTTGTTAGGGGGAACTAGGGGAGGGACAGTGTCAGGGTAGGGAGTTGGGGAGGGATAACATGGGGAGAAATGCCAGATATAGGTGATGGGGAGGAAGGCAGCAAACCACATTGCCATGTAACAATATTGTTGCCTATGCAACAATCTTGCATGTTCTTCACATGTACCCCCAAACCTAAAATGCAATAAAATATATATTAAAAAAAGAAATGTAATGGTCTTGATTCATGATCGGGAGCTCAGTAAATGGTAGCTGTTAGTATTATTTTGTATCCAGATAGGCAAAGACCTATTGAGTGTTGGGCTGTTTAAGTAAGGAGATACATATATATGGAGATACATATATATATACATACATACATACATATTTATTTATTTATTTTTCCCCAAGATGGAGTCTTGCTCTGTCACCCAGGCTAGAGTGTAGTGGCCTGATCTTGGCTCACTGCAACCTCTGCTTCCCAGGTTCAGTGATTCTCCTGCCTCAGCCTCCCAAGTAGCTGGGATTACAGGTGCATACCACTATACCCAGCTAATTTTTTTTTTGTATTTTTGGTAGAGATGGGGTTTCACCATGTTGGCCAGGCTGGTCTCAAACTCCTGACCTTGTGATCTGCCTACCTTGGCCTCCCAAAGTTCTGGGATTACAGGCATGAGCCACTGCACCCCACCTAAGGATATTTTAACTGACATTTCTCCATTTCAGTAAATGCACTTCTAGGGTAGGAAATCACTAAGTCCCTAGTGCTGGAAAGGCTTCATCTGCCAGTACATTTAATCCTAGAATTTTATTTTTAAAATGCCCCATTCACTGAAAAAACCAAATTACTTTCCAGAAGAGGTAAGATTGCTTTTATTTCATTTTTAAATTAATTAATTAATTTTTGAGACAGAGTCTTGATCTGTTGCCCAGGATGGAGTGCAGTGACTCAATCTCAGCTCACTGCAACCTCCGCCTCCTGAGTTCTAGCAATTCTCCTGCCTCAGCCTCCCAAGTAATTGAGATTACAGCTTCCCACCACCATACCCAGCTAATTTTTATGTTTTTAGTAGAGATGGGGTTTCACCATGTTAGCCATGCTGGTCTTGAACTCCTGACCTCAGGTGATCCACCTGCCTCGGCCTCCCAAAGTGCTGGGATTACAGGCGTGAGCCACCGTGCCCGGCCTAAGATTGCTTTTCATTATACCCAAATTAATAATCTATACTCTTTTTCTGCTTCCTCCCTTTAGACGTGCACTTGAAAAAAAGAACAAAGCAGATGAGAGTATTCAGTGGTTGGAGATACACAAAAAGAAGTCTCAAGCGATGTCCAAATCTGTGACCTTGCGTGCAAAGGCCATGGATCCCCATAAAAGCCTGGAGGAAGTGTTCAAAGCAAAGCTAAAAGAGAACCGGTCAGTGTCCTCTATGTGTCAAAAGGGGTGCTTGCCTTGAGATCCGACAGACTACTGGCCTGTTGCCAGAAAATGCAAACTGGAATTACTGGGGTAGGTAGGCTCCTGTAATCACAGCGGGGTCATGATTTTCCAAGTCAGATAGGAATTTACAATGTACATGATAGTTATACTGCTTAACTGGAAATGAAGGGTATTCTAGATTAGAAAATATGGAATTCTTTCTAAAAATCTTGCTAATTCCAGGAACAATGACCGTAAAAGAGTGAAAGAATATAAGAAAGAATTGGAAGAAATGAAGAAGAGAATACAAACAAGGCCCTATCTCTTTGAACAAGTTGCCAAGGTAAAACTAAACCATCACTTGTTTCCTGCCTTATATGAAAGGGCTCTGAGAAATTATGAAAATAATTTTAATATGTGGGTATTAAATTTTTCCTTGAGGCCCAGAAGTTCTAATTTCATTACCACCTTTTCCCAAAATAAATAGTATGATAGAGAATGCTGCTTGTGTTGACTTCATCCAAGAGTGAACTCCAAGGGCATCTGTAAAGGGATATTTTACTTCTAGACTTTTCACTGTAGTCTAGCATTCAGATTTCATCAGATTGGGCATTACACCCCAGAGACACAGGGACAACTGGCTCGTTCTGCTCCCTGGAGCCACTGTGCACAGTGCTGGGAAGGCATCTCTCCTCTGGCAGTGCTACTGCCCCTGGGCCTCCCCACCTCTAGATCTGTGGCACAGGTTTAGGTCTCCAAGGATTAGGAAGCTCACAAACACCCCTCAAGGCTCTTCTTAGAATAAGTGGCTTTCAGGCTTGAAGATTATTATTCATTTCTTCTTTTATTTCGTGTGTGTGTGTGTTCCTTGTGGAGCAGGGCTAGCTAACCCATAGGCAGTGTACCCAAAGTATCCTGGAAGACTATCATTTTAAGATATTCTCGTCTGGGCATGGTGGCTCACGCCCGTAATCCCAGCACTTTGGGAGGCCAAGGTGGGTGGATCACGAGGTCAGGAGATCAAGACCATCCTGGCTAACTCAGTGAAACGCTGTCTCCACTAAAAATACAAAAAAATAGCTGGGTGTTGTGGCACACACCTGTAGTCCCAGCTACTCAGGAGGCTGAGGCAGGAGAATCGCTTGAACTCAGGAGGCAGAGGTTGCAGTGAGCCAAGATCGTGCCACTGCACTCCAGCCTGGGTGACAGAGCAAGACTCCATTTCAAAAAAAAAAAAAAAAAAAAAAAAAGTATATATATATATATATATATATATATATATATATATATATATACTTTTTTTTTTTTTTTTTTTTCCAAAACTTTTAGGGACGTTGGACTCAGCTGAGATCTCCCTAAGGATTCTCTGGAGCTGCTGCATTAGGCTCTGTGCATTTCTTTCCTCTCTAGTTTCAGACAAGTTGGGGTTCCCTAGTGACCAGTGGTGGGGCATTAGCTCCATCTTATAGCTAGTACATTATCCAGACATTTGCTGGGTCCACTTCCTCCTCCATCCATAAATCTCTCCTCTCACACACACAAACACACACCGTCTTGGATTTACTTAGCAACTTGCATTGTTCAAAATCTCTTGCTTTTTTATGTTAATGTTAAGCAAGCTCACTCTTCAGAGCTCCACAGTTTTTCACCTCTCTAAGAAAAATACAAAGTACTGATTTTGTTCTTGAATACTTAAACAAACAAAAAAAAAAATTCTTCTGGTCCACATGTAGACCATCTGTCCTTCCATTGAGAGTCTTGGTGTAGCTTATTTTCTATTTTATTTTAGTATTCCTGATAATGGTTTGTTGCTTTAAAATCTTAGAAGGCTTTTAGTCCGTCCTTTTTTTTTTTTTTTTTTTTTGAGACGGAGTTTCGCTCTTTTTTCCCCGGCTGGAGTGCAATGGCGCAATCTCGGCTCACCGCAACCTCCGCCTCCTGGGTTCAGGCAATTCTCCTGCCTCAGCCTCCTGAGTAGCTGGGATTACAGGCACGCACCACCATGCCCAGCTGATTTTTTGTATTTTTAGTAGAGATGGGGTTTCACCACGTTGACCAGGATGGTCTCGATCTCTTGACCTCGTGATCCACCCGCCTCGGCCTCCCAAAGTGCTGGGATTACAGGCTTGAGCCACCGCGCCCGGCAGTAGTCCATCCTTTTAAATCTGTCCCCCAAAAGTCTAAGTCATTACTTTTCAAAATCATGGCTCCCAAATCAACAGTTTGGCATCTCCGGGGAGGGTTAGAAATATAAAATTACAGGCCTCATCTGACACCTACCAAATGAGAAATCTGCATTTTAACAAGACCACAGGTGATTTATACATACATTAAGGTTTGAAAACAAGGCTTAAGTAATTTTCATGCAAATCTGTACCCCACAGTAAGGGCAGCGGTGGTAGTGGCAGTATTTTAAGAATGCTGATTAAGTAATTTAGAATTGTCTGGTAATTCATAAGACAGCTTCAACAGATTAATTTCCATCCCACAGGATCTAGCCAAGAAAGAAGCAGAACAATGGTATCTAGACGCCCTGAAGCAGGCTGGGCTGGAGGAAGACTTTGTGAGAAGCAAGGGGCAAGGCATCCAGGCTGTAGAAGAGGAGACCCAAGTCAAGGACCTTCCCAGGTAACCTGAGATGTTGCTGTCATTTGCAGCTCTCTAAATTGTCATCCCCAGTAATACCACTGGGAGGAAGGTTTGGAATAGCCACTGGTATTCTGGTATCATAATCCTGTATTTATATGATATTAATAACAAATCCAGAGATCTCCAGGTAACACATTTGAATTTAGACAGTGGTGCAGTTGTGAATAAAATCTGATAAATTATGTTTAGTTTTCTTCCATTTTGAAACAGATCATTTTCCAATTCCAGTTCCAATTCTATGAGCTGAAACTATTACTACTTTATTTTTGAAGAAAAATCACATATATTTTGACTTCTTATAAAACTATAAAACTCTTTTTCTAGCATTCCTTGAAGGTAGCTTATTAGTATCACCTTCTCCATAACCCATTTTGATATTGAGTCAATGGGAGAAAAGACAGATCTCCATAATTCTTTTTTTTTTTTTTTTTTTTTTTTTTGAGACGGAGTTTCGCTCTTGTTACCCAGGCTGGAGTGCAATGGCGCGATCTCGGCTCACCGCAACCTCCGCCTCCTGGGTTCAGGCAATTCTCCTGCCTCAGCCTCCTGAGTAGCTGGGATTATAGGCACGCACCACCATGCCCAGCTAATTTTTTGTACTTTTAGTAGAGACGGGGTTTCACCATGTTGACCAGGATGGTCTCGATCTCTTGACCTTGTGATCCACCCGCCTCGGCCTCCCAAAGTGCTGGGATTACAGGCTTGAGCCACCACACCCGGCTATCTCCATAATTCTTAATTGTTTTGTATCTTAAATCCTAGTAGCCCCTGGCCGGGCATGGTGGCTCACACCTGTAATCCCAGCACTTTGGGAGGCCAAGGCAGGTGGATCACAAGGTCAAGAGATCGTGACCATCCTGGACAACATGGTGAAACCCCCCCATCTCTACTAAAAATTACAAAAATTAGCTGGGCATGGTGGCACACGGCTGGAATCCCAGATACTCGGGAGGCTGAGGCAGGAGAATCGCTTGAACCCAAGAGGCGGAGGTTGCAGTTGAGCCAAGATTGTGCGACTGCACTCCAGCCTGGAGCCTGGCAACAGAATGAGACTGTCTCAAAAATAAAAAATAAAAAAATCCTAGTAGCCCCTACCCTAATTTCTCAGTTTTATACCCCTAGGAATTTTCCTTTACATCCCATATAAAATAATGTTGAGGCCATTCTTAAACCTTACACAGTGCTTTAAGGTTTTGTTTTTCAGACTGGGCGCAGTGGCTTAGGCCTGTAATCCCAGCACTTTGGGAGGCTGAAGTGGGTGGATCATTTGAAGCCAGGAGTTCAAGACCAGCCTGGGCAACATGGCAAAACCCCATCTCTAAAAAAAAAAATTAAAAAAATTAGCTGGGCACAGTGGCATGTGCCTGTAATCCCAGCTACTTGGGAAGCTGAAGTGGGAAGATTGCTGGAGCTGGGCTGTCCAGGCTGCAGTGAGCCAAAATCATGCCACTGCACTCCAGCCTGGGTGACAGAGTGAGACCCTCTCTGGGGAAAAAAAAAAAAAAAAAAAAAAATTAATGTTTTAATTTATTTTGCAGCATCCAAGAAACTACAAAATTCAGCATCAGAGATGATCCACAGCAGGATTTAGAAGGATCTCTAGAACAGCCTGCAAGCCCCAGGAAAGTACTGGAGGAGCTATCTCATCAATCATCAGAAAATCTCCAATCACTTGCCTAATCACTACACTTAAAATTACTGCTTTTGAAAAATATTAAGCAGATAACTTGGGTTTGAGCCAAGGCAGGCAAAACTTGGGTTTTGAGTCATGGCTACTGCTAGTGGACGGGGGAAAAGAAGAGTACCAGGTAACAGTCCGCTCGAGGTGGGCAGATCACCTGAGGTCAGGAGTTTGAGACCAGCCTGGCCAACATGGCAAAACCCTGTCTCTACTAAAAATATAAAAATTAGCTGGGTGTGATGACACATGCCTGTAATTCCAGCTATTCAGGAGGCTGAGGCAGGAGAATCACTTGAACCTGAGAGACAGAGGTATTCATAAGCCAAGATCACAGCACTGTACCAGCCTGGGCAGCACAGCAAGACTCTGTCTTCAAAAAAAAAAAAAAAAAAAAAGTAGCAGATAACGGAATGGTTCAAGGAAATCAAAGTGGGGAGGCTCAGGAGGAGGGATCGTAGCCTAAAGTTCAGGGTTCCTGCTCTGTGCCTCACATTTAGAGTATACGTAGAGAAAAGAGCACAAGCCCAAATACCTATCAGGGCTAGTGCAGAAACATAAATGCATCAGCAGGGTAGGTGTAGACAGTAGGAGACAAGGGAGACTGGAAAGTATCAAGTCTTGCTAGAGTTTAGGCTCCTACATCAACCACATTTTCATCAAGCCAGAAACTTGCATGCTGTCAAACTAATTTAAAAATTACTTAGAAATAGTGTATGGGCAAAATAAAATACATCTGTGTATCACATTTAGCCCATTGGGGATGAAAAACTTACAAATTCCAGTATAGGGTTTCATATCCTCAGCATTATTAATATTTTGGGCCTTAGCCTGGCCAACATGGCGAAACCCCATCTCTACTAAAAATACAAAAATTAGCTGGGCTTGGTGGCGGGTGCCTGCAATCCCAGCTACTCAGGCAGCTGAGGCAGAAGAATCACTTGAACCCGGGAGGTGGAGGCTGCATTGAGCCAAGATCGCACTACTGTACTCCAGCCTGGGTGGCAAGAGTGAGACTCTGTCCTCAAAAAAAAAAAAAAAGAAAAAAATACCTCGGGCCACCTAATACTTTGTTGAGGGTTGCGGGAGGGAGCTGTCCTGTACGTTGTAGAATGTTTAGCAGCATCCCTGGCCACTGCCTGCTAGATGCCAGTTAGTATCCCCCTCCCCAGCTGTAACAACCAAAAACGTCTCCAGATAATGCCAGATGTCCCCAGGGGGCAAAAATGTCCCTGGTTGAGAACCACTGCTCTAGTGTAAAAGGTTGCATGAAGCAAAAACTGGCATTCTAAGAATACAAGTAATTGCCATGAACACAATCTACATACTAAATGGTGATGCATGTCATTAACAAATTAAGAATAATTTAAAAGTTATTTCCTATTATCTGTGTAGAATGTGCCTGTGTGTTTGTGAGCATGAAGTTCGTTTTAAATAAAATTTCCCAGACAACCAAGATTTTTACTAGTAGATGAACTCTGGAATACTTTCTTCTCACCAGTAATAATTGGATATTCTGGCTCAGTGCAGTGCTTCATGCCTGTAATCCCAGCACTTTGGGAGGCCAAGGCAGGAGGATCGCTTGAAGCCAGGGGTTCAAGACCAGTCTAGGCAATATAGTGTGCCCTCATCTCTACCAAAAAAAAAAACACGCAAAAAGTTCGCTGGACTGGTGGTGCATGCCTATAGTCCTAGCTATTCAGGAGGCTGAGGTGGGAAGATCCCTTGAGTTCAAGGTTACAGTGAGCTATGATTACACCACTGCACTCCAGCCTGGGTAACAGAGCAAGACTCTATCTCAAATCATAATAATGACTGGATATTCTTTCTCAGTAGCTGTGGAGACAGGATGATAGCAAGCATGCCTGCTCTAACTAAAGCACCTTTCTCAATGCCTTTTAAAAGAAACGATCTTTCTGGAAAAATTCAAAAGTATCTGTTGTTGGAAAAATTCAAAAGTATCTGTTTTTATTGCATTTTCTCAGATGTATCTTTTTTGGTGGAGACAGAGTGATAATCCAGTAATAACCACCTGGGCTTGCTAGTTAGAAATGAAGATGTTCTGGTTATGTTTCCTAAGACTCCTTGGTTCAATGAAGTCCTAATCTCTAAGAAAACAAATTTTGTGTAAAACAAGAGCCAAAGAGCTGACTGGGCTGTTTTGTTTATTTAAAGGAAAAACTGAATCTGCATCATCTAATTTTTAACTTTAAAAAAACAAAAACATGAAATCCCTCTTAACATGCTACTGTATGTTCCATTAACAAAGAAAAGCAAAGTGACCAAGTAGAAGGTATAGGACAAGATAGTACCTCAGCCTGGGCCAAGGGGAGATTCAAGTAATTAATTTTTTTGCAGCCCAGTGGCAGAGTCGCTTACTCAGGTTGCTAAAGGGAGAATGTAACAAGATAATTGACATCACTCCCTTCTTCAAAGCAACAAGGCATCATGAAAGCTCAACTTCCTGGTGAAGCTCTGTTGTTGGTGGCAGGAATTATTTCATCCATGTGAAGACAGCTGAGTCTGGCATGAAAACTCTTCAAAGGAAAACCTCCCCTCAACAGTCATAGTGAGGAACTTCAGCCAACACATAATCAAATTCACTTTTGGTCAATCCCAGAATTTTGCAGTGGGAAGAGAGGTAGGTACAGTTTCCTAGCCCACAGTCATTGCTTCATTCTTTGTCTGGATAAGATGGCAGTTAGAAAAGAGGCTCTCCTACATCCATCTTCTGTACCAGGAAAGAGGAAGAGTGGCAAAAGCAGAGTCCTGTCCTTCAGAGATTCATTCTGTTCTGTTGTGAGCTACGGCATCCTGTTCCCAGTGTATGCGTTTTGAGATCAGATAGAGCTGCTCTTCCAGGAGTCAGCACCCGTGCTCATGTCCGTCTTTCAGTTAAATCTCCTTGGTTTAGTAACTGTAAAAGATTGAAAGCAAATCTAGAATAGGTTACAGTTGAATTAGAGAAAAAAATGATTCATACTAAGAAAAAAGGCTTAAGAGTGGAGGATGGAGAATGTACTGCAGGGGTGAATGAAGGGTTATCTACTTCCAAAGCAAACACACACATTGACTAACAGATCCCAGTGTGGCCTTGGGAAAGCACTGTAAGCCATGTCATAAGGCTGGCATTTCAACTCTGGCTATCAAATATCTTGAGTCTATAAGCCAAACTATTGTTTCTGTAGTTACCTACTCACCAGTCAGTGATAGAGGAATCTCTAACTTACAGGGAAAACAAATGGTGGAAATGAAATCTCTTAAGCAAGCATCAGCCAAAGGATAGGGTGAAGGCTCAAGTAGGAGAAGGAAATAGGAAGACGAGCTGTTCACTTTGTAAGTTCTATATGAGAACTGGAACCCACTCACAAGCAACCCAGGAGTTCTTTGGGCTTAAAAGAATACCTTTGCTGTGATGAAGGAAGATAAGCTTAAGGGACTCCTGAATAATGGCAGCCAACACTAACATTCTACTCTATACACAAGGCTATATTCAAAGGAGCTTTGGTATGGTAATTCATGAGGTTGGTTTCCATTTTAATATAAAAACAAAATGAGGCTGAGTGCAATGGCTCATGTCTATAATGCCAGCACTTTGGGAGGCTGAGGCAGGAGAACTGCTGGAGACCAGCTTGGGCAACACAGGCCCTGTCTCTACAAGAAAGTTTTAAAAATTAGCCAGGCATGGTAGTATGTGCTTGTAGTCCTAGCTACTTGGGAGGCTGAGGCAGGAGGATCGCTTGAACCCAGGAGTTCAAGGGTGCAGTGAGCTATGATCATGCCATTGCACTCCAGTCTGGGTGACAGGGTGAAACTGTTTTCAGACAGACAAAAATGAGATGGGAACAATTCAGTACAATTCAGAACAAAAACTGAGCTTATTAAAATCTAATCAAATAAATTCTTCAGCTTGAGACGCATTTACCTGGTGATCCTAATTTGGATGAAGGTAATTTATACAGAAGTATTTAATGACTGGGTTGGGCACTATGGCTCATGCCTATAACTCCATTTTGGGAGGCTGAGGTGGGAGGACTTCTTGAGGTCAGAAATTTGAGATCAGCCTGGGCAACATGGTAAGACCCCCTATCTACCAAAAAAAAAAATTTTTTTTAAGAGTTTAATGAGTTTCTGCCGGGCGCGGTGGCTCAAGCCTGTAATCCCAGCACTTTGGGAGGCCGAGGCGGGTGGATCACGAGGTCGAGAGATTGAGACCATCCTGGTCAACATGGTGAAACCCGTCTCTACTAAAAGTGCAAAAAATTAGCTGGGCATGGTGGCGTGTGCCTGTAATCCCAGCTACTCAGGAGGCTGAGGCAGGAGAATTGCCTGAGCCCAGGAGGCGGAGGTTGCAGTGAGCCGAGATCGCGCCATTGCACTCCAGCCTGGGTAACAAGGGCGAAACTGTCCCAAAAAAAAAAAAAAAAGAGTTTAATGAGTTTCACCATGTTGGCCAGAATGATCTCAATCTCTTCACCTAGCGATATGCCCACTTTGGCCTCCCAAAGTCCTGGGATTATAGGCGTGAGCCACCACGCCAGGCCTAAAGTAAGAATTTTTTTTTTTTTAATTAAACGAGAGAATATAAAAGTCCAGAGAGTGTAGCACAATCCCCAAAACTCTCATGATCCAGATGGTGGCTGGGCCAGGGTGAAGTCTTGTGTCTCGGCCCTTCCAGATGTTTGAAAAATCTACAGGGATTTGCAGCATGACAAACAAAGGTCACAACAGGTCAGGTGAAGCTCTTCAGCATCCTCATCCTCCTTGTACTCGCTGGGTGTCATTTCTTCTCTCCAGGAGGTTGAGTAAGCAGTCCCTTTCCTTGACCCCCCAGGCCTCTTTCACATGACATGGGGCCTCCGTGGGAAGTTCCTTCAGTGGATCCTCTGTGGGAACACTTGCTGGAATCGCTGAGTTCCTGTTGAAAACCTCCAGGACTTGTTCTGAGGACATCTCTCCAGGAAGCTGCCCTCACATGTGGAGTAAGTAATCACTTGCCCAAATCGCTGAGTCCCTGTTGAAATCCTCCAGGACTTGTTCTGAGGACATACTTAGCCAGGTGTGGTGGTGGGCGCCTGTAGTCCCAACTACTCAGGAGGCTGAGGCAGAATTGCTTGAACCCAGGAGGCAGAGGTTGCAGTGAGCCCAGATTGTGCCATTGCACTCCAGCCTGGTGACAGAGCTAGACTCCATCTCAGAAAAAAAAATTCTTACTTTAATCTGCTTTTTGTAAGACACAAGCTGTCATTGTGTAATGGTAGCTTATATTTTATTCCTTAAGTAATTGTTCAATTGGTTTATTAGTGTTTTTGGATTTTTGTCCACTTCTGGAATTTTTGTAATTTTGATAGATGTTTTATACTTTCTTTTCTTAATGCCTTTTACTTTAGTTTTTAATAAATACATGGTACAGTAAAAAAAAAACCTTTAATGATATGGAATTTAAAGAAATTTAAACAAAATTGAAAGAAAAATGAAACCTTAAAGAAACCACATATTTCATTTGATGCTATGTGGCAGGGAAGTAAGAATAGTGTGTTTTTAATGTAGGCCAAGATCCAGATGTTTGCAAAGGTACTTTATGAGAAATGCTATAGAATTTGTAATTTCTGTTTTTGCCTTGATTTGGGAAGCATTCTAAGATGTAATTAAAGCTAGCTAGGAATCTCTTATACTGGTTCTTGAGTTCAAGAATGTGAACTCAATGTAAATACAGATCCCCATTTAGGATGAACTTTAGTAAGTATGAGAGCCCAAAAGCCCTGGGGGGTCCCAGTTGGGCCTGTGCAATGAGTCTTCCATCTAATTCTCAGATGTGGCACAATGAGGGAAAATAGAGATTGTCCATCTGAACCAGAGAGAGGTGACTTGTAGTTTTTCATATTTTTCCCATGGTAATTTCATTTAAAAAAAACAACCATCAGGGTTTGGCTTTGTCACCCAGACCAGAGTGCAGTGGCATGATCATGGCTCACTGCAGTCTCAACCTCCTGGGCCCAAGTGATCCTCTAACCTCATCCTCCCAAGTAGCTAGGACCAGCCAATTTTATTTTATTTTTGTTTTGTAGAGATAGGGTTTCCCTGTGCTGCTCAGGCTGGTCTCAAACTCTGAAGCTCAACTGATGCTCCCACCTCAAACTGATCCTCTCACCCCAGCCTCCCAAGGTAATCTTTTAGTAAAGACGGGGTTGATCCTTGCTAGGATTACAAGCGTGAGCCACTGTACCCAGCCTCTCATGATAATTTCAGATAACAGATTTGGTTGTTCTCTGATATGTTTGATAAGCTATTTTTATTTTTAGAGCATATTTATAGGAATTACAAGTTCATCAGTATCAGTACACTTTGATCTGTACTGCTTGGTGATCTCCAAAAAGTTGAAATAGGCATATATTGCAAATAGCCTTCACCTTCTCTGGCACCTGAAAGTTCTTAAGGAATCAACATTCCTCACTCACTGGAGAAATGGCAAGTTAATACTTAAGACCTTGGATGAGGAAGAGGACTAAGCCTGGAACCTTGAGGGGCTCATAGCTTGAAAAAAACCGAAGGTATTGGAGGACCCAAACTAGCAAAGAAAGAAAAGGAGGGAATAAGCAGTGGAAATGCCTGTGATAAGAGGAGACGAATAATGATAAAAGTGAAGAAAACACAAAAGAAGTGAGGCTCAGACAGAGGGTGTGTTTGTAAATATAAAAAAAAAATATGAGGAAAAAGTGACAGTGTAGGATTTTCAGCTACATCATGGGCAGCGCTTTCCCCATTGTGTTATTAATATTTTCCTGGCCGGGCGTGGTGGCTCACGCCTGTAATCTCAACACTTTGGGAGGCCGAGGCAGGTGAGGTCAGGAGTTCAAGACCAGCCTGACCAACATGGTGAAACCCCATCTTTACTAAAAATAGGAAAATTAGCTGGACATGGTGGTGGGCGCCTGTAATCCCAGCTACTCGGGAGGCTGAGGCAGGAGAATTGCTTGAACCTGGGCAGCAGAGGTTGCAGTGAGCCAAGATCAAGCCACTGCACTCCAGCCTGGGCAAGAGAGTGAGACCCTGACATACATATATATATATATTTTTTTTTTTTCCTAAGTGTTTTGGGCTTCCATTATGAAACTGGGTACTTAGGGCCTGTAGGCCCTTTGCACCCTCCTGGAGTGAAGGCCATACTTCCTTTTTTTGGTTTGATTTTTGGGACGAGATCTCTCTCAGGCTGGAGTGCAATGGCGCAATCATAGTTTACTGTAGCCTTGAACTCCTGGGCTCAAGTCGATCCTCCTGCCTCAACCTCTGGCGTAGCTGAGATTACAAGTACACACCACCATGCCTGGCTAATTTTTAAAAAACCTTTTGTAGGCCGGGCGCGGTGGCTCAAGCCTGTAATCCCGGCACTTTGGGAGGCCGAGGTGGGTGGATCACGAGGTCAAGAGATCAAGACCATCTGGTCAACATGGTGAAACCCCATCTCTACCAAAAATACAAAAAAATTAGCTGGGCATGGTGGTGCGTGCCTGTAATCCCAGCTACTCAGGAGGCTGAGGCAGGAGAATTGCCTGAACCCAGGAGGCGGAGGTTGCGGTGAGCCGAGATCGCGCCATTGCACTCCAGCCTGGGTAACAAGAGCAAAAATCCGTCTCAAAAAAAACCCAAAAAACAAAAAACCTTTTGTAGAGACAGGCTCTTGTTATGTTGCCCAGGTATGTCTCGAACTCCTGGCCTCAAGTGATCCTCCCACTTTAGCCTCCAAAAGTGCTGGGATTGTAAGCATGATCCACCACACCCAGCCTGTGTTATGATGTCTCCTTGAGGCCGTAAGTGGGCAGCACCTATCATACGGGGATGCTCTGAGGTTAGTTCCAAGACTCATGTGCCTAGGTTCTAGAGAACAAATGTACCATTACTGGATATTCTGTATACACAAATCTGATCATGTCATACCCTAGTTAAAACCGTGCAGTGAGGCCAGGCGCGGTGGCTCAAGCCTGTAATCCCAGCACTTTGGGAGGACGAGGCGGGTGGATCACGAGGTCAAGAGATCCAGACCATCCTGGTCAACATGGTGAAACCCCGTCTCTACTAAAAATACAAAAAATTAGCTGGGCATGGTGGCACACGCCTGTAGTCCCAGCTACTAGGGAGGCTGAGGCAGGAGAATTGCTTGAACCCAGGAGGCGGAGGTTGTACTCCAGCCTGGGTAACAAGAGCGAAACTCCGTCTCAAAAAAAAAAAAAAAAAAAAAAAAAAAAAAAAAAGCCGGGCACGGTGGCTCAAGCCTGTAATCCCAGCACTTTGGGAGGCCGAGGCGGGTGGATCATGAGGTCAAGAGATCGAGACCGTCCTGGTCAACATGGTGAAACCCCGTCTCTACTAAAAAATACAAAAAATTGGCCAGGCACGGTGGCTCAAGCCTGTAATCCCAGCACTTTGGAAGGCCAAGGCGGGTGGATCACAAGGTCAAGAGATCGAGACCATCCTGGTCAACATGGTGAAACCCCGTCTCTACTAAAAATACAAAAAAATCAGCTGGGTATGGTGGCACGTGCCTGTAATCCCAGCTACTCAGGAGGCTGAGGCAGGAGAATTGCCTGAACCCAGGAGACGGAGGTTGCGGTGAGCCGAGATCACGCCATTGCACTCCAGCCTGGGTAACAAGAGCGAAACTCCGACTCAAAAAAAAAAAAACCGTGCAGTAGTTCTTCAGTGCCCCCAGGATAAAATCATGTCTGTAAGACCTTTCAAGAGAGGAACTAGCTTATCTTTCCAGCTCTCAATTTTCCAGCCCATCTCTCCATCCCATGTCCTATCATACTCAACCCAGCTAATTTTTGTATTTTTAGTAGAGATGGGGTTTCACCACGTTGGCCAGGATGGTCTCGATCTCTTGACCTCGTGATTTGCCCGCCTCGGCCTCCCAAAGTGCTGGGATTACAGGTGTGAGCCAACGCGCCCAGCCTGAACCAACCATACAGTATTTTTCAGGGGGAGAAAAAAAGAACATAGACTATTAGAGGATACAAGGTTTCTTGGATGTGATAAAGGTTTGTTTTTTTTTTTTTTTTTTTGAGATGGAGTTTCACTCTTGTTACCCAGGCTGGAGTGCAATGGCACAATCTCGGCTCACCGCAACCTCCGCCTCCTGGGCTCAGGCAATTCTCCTGCCTCAGCCTCCTAAGTAGCTGGGATTACAGGCACGCGCCACCACGCCCAGCTAATATTTTGTATTTTTAGTAGAGATGGGGTTTCACCATGTTGACCAGGATGGTCTCGATCTCTTGACCTCATGATCCACCCGCCTCGGCCTCCCAAAGTGCTGGGATTACAGTTGATAAAGATATTTTTAAAAAAACATTATATCTGTTAAGAGACACATACTGAAATATATACAGAAGAAATGACATTCCTACAATTTGCTTTGAAATACTCCATCACAAACAGCAACAACAACAAAAGGAGGAAAGAAATAAAACAAGAACAGTATAAAGCTAATTATGTTTTTGTTTTTTGGGACAGGGTCTAACTCTGTCACCCAGGAGTACAGTGGCACAATCACTGCACAAAAAAATTGTCCAAGTTAGGAAATAGGTACATGGGTTTATTATACTAGTCTCTATCTCTCACTATACTCTGAAAATTTCCATAATAAAAGCTTTAAAACACAAAATTGAAGACAAGAAAAAATGGAGGAGAAAGAGGAAGGCTCTCTAAGTGAGACATATATGACTCATTCCAAAGCAGTTACCAGAAAAAGAAGTGACTTAGGAAAGAATAAATGATACCAACAGCAAAAACTAAATATAAGCAAAGACAATGGGTCACAACAATGAATAAAAGGAAAGGTCTTGGCAAAAGGATTAACATGTATGCCCAGAACCTTGTAATCTTGGGTACCCCTAAGGATATTACAGAATAATGAAGACTATTCAACATAGGATGCAGAGTCATTTGAATGATGTAACAGCTTACTGTGGTAAAAGTTATAATAAAAAGAAAGAGGAGAGAAGATGGAAGAGCACCATAAAACCTAATGTAATACTGAAGGGATCCAAGCTACATAGGTTCTGACAAAAGCTTATGCATATGAAATGTACTTGTGATGAAGTCATCCACTCCCTGACACAAGACGAATAAAATATCCTAAGATTCTAAAAGACTGACTGGTTTGCATTCTGTTTTCTGAGTCAAAGCCAACCACAGAGTTGAAAGTGCTTACAACCTAAAACCCTTCTTCTGTTTAGATCAGTGGTCACCAACCCACAGGCCATGGACCGGTGGCCACGGACCAGTGGACCACATGGTCAATGTTAGGAACTGGGCTGCACAGCAGGAGGTAAGCAAGCACTACCCCCTGAACACCACCTCAGATGCCTGTCAGATCAGCAGCAGCAACAGATTCTCACAGGAGCACAAACCCTATTGTGAACTGTGCATTTGAGGGATCTGGATTGTGTGCTCCTTATGAGAATCTAATGCCTAACGATCTGAGGTGGAATAAAATTGATCCCTGGTGCCAAAAAGGTTGCAGACCACTGATTTAGATAATGGTTCACATTTAAGCAAGCAAATGAACAAATCTGTACATGCCCATTTGGTTAAGCCTGGTATCTCCCAGACATACGACCTTAGCGGAATGAACAATAATTATGTTTAATGATTGTGTTACTATCTTTTTTGCTGAGGACTTTTTTCCAAGATGTTATTTGTGGAGAAAAGAAAGGGCTAGGAAACACTTGCTCCTCTCTAGTATAGAAATTTCACCCAAGTCACACAGTACAGGCACTCTTCTCTGAATAACTTAACAGGTGAGGTCAACATGCATTTATTCAGTGCCCATTGTATGCCTTTATAAAATAGAAGCTGTATCTTCATGTTATAGTAGGGCAGAGAACAATGGGAATAGACATCAATGAGGAATGTGTATAAAAGAACTTTAAAGCTGAGAGTCCCAGGTGTGACAGACCAATCTCCAATTCGTTAAGACCCTCACCCTCTCCTTTCAAGCTGAATTCATGCTTAATTTAAAAGAAAATACTCATTTCAAAGTTTCCAGGAAATGGAAACTAGAGACTTTTTCAGATCCTCTAAATTCTCAATCCTTCCCCACCTTAGGTGCCACAGAAACAAAGGACAAGAGACCACTTTACCTCTTGTGGATTTACTGCAGTTAAGACAGAAACTTCATATGATTGCCTCCCTGACTGCATGGTCACCAAGTGATGTGTCACATCAGGCACTGAAGACAGGGAACGTGGGGATCCTTCAGCAAGCACTTCTGTGAAGCAACAGAAAAATGTTTCAATGAAAAGTGAATCCAGAGACATACCTATCTGGATCATTAAGCCTCTCATTAACAACTCTAAAACTCTATTCCTCTATTTCCCACATTCCTCTATTTCTTCCAAGTTCATCCTGTCTAATAAGCACTATCAGTGAATTCGGAAAGTATTATAGAAACATAATAGAAAAAAAGACAAAAAATCTTAATTCAGGATTTAGAATAATACGGTATTAGCACTGTTGACTGAATTAAAACTATGTATGAAACGGGGCAAAAGCTGCTTAGGCAAGCAGGTCAGGGAACCAAAGCCACCCTTAAAGCAGTCACCAATGATACTGATAGCACTCACTGACTGAATATGGTATGAACCAATGATACTGATAGCATTCACTGACTGAAAATGATATGAGGAACAAAACACAAGATCTCACAGTTACTAAATGTTCATCAGTGGAATCACCATGAAAATCTTCTAGAAATATTTTAAGGATATACCACTTAGCCCTCAGAAAATCAAAAGTTTCTTCTAGGGGTTTTCTAGCTGATACAACTCTTTTATACTGTACCATATAATTTAGTGTTCGCTTATATACTGTCTTCTATGTACTCAATGTTGTTCCCATATATATGTAAGCTTTCACTTCTCAACTGGATTTTAAGGTCCCTAGCTTCTACTTTTGTCTTTCCCATGGTGCCAGGCACACAGTAGGCACTGAATAAATGCATGCTGACCTCACCTGTTAAGTTTTTCAGAGAAGAGGGCCTGGCCTGTGTAACTTGGGTGAAATTTCTATACCAGAGAGGAGCAAGTGTTTCCTAGAGAGCCCTTTCTTTTCTCCAGAAGATATGGCTTTTGAAGGTATGGAGAAATTGCTTTATATCTCCTCTGTAAAACCTGGTTATGTTCTGTTTAAATGTTTTAAAAGTTAAGTTCTTCCATAACTGCAATAGGAAAGATAGAAATAGTTGGGCTAGGATGCTAGGATTATGAATAATTTTTTCTTAAGATTTTTTCTTTTTATTCTTTGTTATATTATCTTCAATGAAAAAAAAATTTTTTTAAACAGACTCACTTATCCACCCCAGAGAATAAGAACACAAATGCTACTCAATCATACCACAGCTATTCATAAGAAATGAGATTAAACCTCCACTGTGGAGACACCCAATTCCTTAGCCCCTAGTTGCAGCCCATTTTTCCCAAATAAAGGAGAGGTGGAAGTCTTACCATCATCAACTCCCAGGATAGAATTGGTATTTGGTAGGTTCAAGGACTCTCCACCAAGGCTGGGCTGGGAATTCATAGACACCAGGTTTTTACGGGGTACTGAAGCCTCTTCAAGCAAACTACTGCCCATTAGTGGCTCAGCTGCACAGAGAATAGGTTGTGAGAGACATACAGCAGTCAAGGCTGTGCCTGGTCCTCATTTTCTTTCAACAGGAAGCTGGCCTTCTCTTTCATTACTAGAAGTTAACCTATGTACTGGATGCCACCTCCTATTTCACCTACTTTTGAGAAACAAGAATAAACCTAGAAGGGAAAGAGTAATAAGCCTAATGACCCTTGCCTGTTTTTTTTTTTTTTTTGAGATGGAGTTTCACTCTTGTTACCCAGGCTGGAGTGCAATGGCGCGATCTCGGCTCACCGCAACCCTCGCCTCCTGGGCTCAGGCAATTCTCCTGCCTCAGCCTCCTAAGTAGCTGGGATTACAGGCATGCGTCACCATGCCCAGCTAGTTTTTTTTTTTTGTATTTTTAGTAGAGACGGGGTTTCACCATGTTGACCAGGATTGTCTCAATCTTTCGTCCTTGTGATCCACCCACCTTAGCCTCCCAAAGTGCTGCGATTACAGGCTTGAGCCACCGCTCCCGGCCGACCCTTGCTTGTTTTCGGCATCTGAAGAATTAGTATATGAAACAGGATAGGTGGGTTTTTAGAAAGGAATATTTGGAACAATTAAGGAAAGATATGGCAAAGGAATAAGAATTAAAAAGAGTTGTCAAATTTCAGGCAGGGCAAAAAGGTAGTCACAACTGGTAAGGAGAAAATGCTTCCAGCCTGGCCAGCATGGTGAAACCCCATCTCTACAAAAATACAAAAATTAGGCAGGCATGGTGGCCCCTGGCTGTAATCCCAGCTACTCAGGAGGCTGAGGCAAGAGAATCCTGAACCCAGAAGGCGGAGGTTGCAGCAAGCTGAGATGGCGCCACTGCACTCCAGCCTGGGTGACAGAGTGAGACTCCGTCTAAAAAAAAAAAAAGCTTAAACTTTTGCCATACAGAAATCTTCTGTCACTGTGTTACTGAAATCCTCGTTAATGGATCAGCACTAGTTACCATCAAACTCACTACGGGAACTTTTAAAACTACAGATTCTGGGATCTTGCAAATTATCTCATTCATTAGATTGCTTTGTTTTATTGGTGGGGGAACAAACAACAAAAAAAATATAAATTTTAAAAGCTTGTAGATGATTCTACTGTATAGCTATGTTTGGAAACCATCAGTCCATCAAATGAGACCAGGTCTATCTACCCAAAACAATCAGAAAATTTCCAGATAACCAGGCAGGACAGTGATTTGGCTCTTTGAACCCTAGAAGGGATAGCCCTCCACTACACCCACCCTCCTCACCAGTTTGCTCCTGCTCTTGACTCCCAGCTGCTCCCAGCTGCAAGTGATGCTTTCTCATATGCACATTCCTGCTTCCACTCTGAGAGAAGGTCTTCCCACAGACTTGGCACTGATGAGGCTTCTCTCCTGAAACAGGGACCAGGTTAAACAGGGAAGCCAAAACAACAGAAGAGAATGGACTCAAGACCTAGATGAAGAAACTCAGAGAATGTTAAACTGAACATAAACAGCTGCTCCTTTTCCCATTCCCCACCTTTCCCAGCCTCTCAAACTTCAGTACACGGGGGAAGGCAGGAAGAGTACACTGGGCGGGATTTAGCACACTCCCTGCTCCCAGCCCCTGGTCCTTTCCAGACCCGCTCTACTGCTGTCTTCACAAAATCTCTTTGGTATAGGATCATGATAGCCAAAAAAATATGCCTCCTTTTTCAGATAGTCTTCCAGGGACCTCTAGGACATGTACTTTCCTTGAGGACTCCAATCCTGGGTTCCTAATATCCCCTTGTCATACTCCCTGGCACTACTCTTTAGGGTCATCAACATTCACACTGGTGGCTCTTCTAACATGATTTAAGCTGTCTTCTATGTCTTCAAGTCCTAAATTCTCCATTTCCATTCTACCTACTCAGACAACCATACTCAGAAGCAGGGGTCAAAATCTGATGTCTATAGGGAACTGACAGGCAGCAAAAGTAAGTAAAATGGCCAAGTGGGGGCCATAGTAACCTAGAGAGTACCCTTACCGGAAAAGGGGCAGCTGTTATTCCGTTCTAGCCAACTGTTGCCATATTTAGATTAAGGACTACCACTGCCAGATTCTCTGTTGTTGTTTTTTTAAAAACACACTGGAAATAAGTAGAATCTCTCAATTTCTAAATGCTAGGAACAAATTCACAATTGATAAACACATGGTACAGCAATCTTCATTGCTGATTGTATTTTGCTGGGAACGCAAAATACAAAAACCTCTTTGGGGGAATCTGACAATATCTAGAAAAATTGTAGATGCACTTGCCCTTTGACCTAGGAATCCCACTTCTAGGAATATGTCCCAAACTATAGTGACAAAATGTGAAATAATCTATGCACAAGGTTATTCATCACTGCAACATTATTTTAAATGGCTAAATACTGGAAACAACCTAAATATTAATCAGAGACTGACTAAAAACCTACAGATATTGTAATAGTCCTGCACAGAAAAAAAAAAAAAAAAGGCTATATGATAGAAACAGGGTAGAATATAAAAAGCTTTAAAATTAAAAATTGAATCACCATTTGAACCAGCAATCCCATTACTGGCTATCTACTCAAAGGAAAATAAACTCCTCTACCAAAAAGACACCTGCACCCATATGTTCACTGCAGCACTATTCACAACAGCAAAGATATGGAATCAACCCAGATGTCCATCAATGGTAAACGAGATAAGGAAAATGTGGTACACACACACCATGGAATACTATGCAGCCATAAAAAAGAACAAGATCAGGTCCTCTGCAGCAACATGAATGCAGCTGGAGGCCATTATCCTAAGCAAATTAACAAAGAAATGGAAAATCAAATACATGTTCTCACTTAAAAGTGGGAGCTAAACACTGGGTACATATGGACATGAAGATGGGAACAATAAACATTGGGGATTCCAAAAGTGGGTACAGGGCAAGGGTTGAAAAACTACCTATCAGCTACTACGTCCACTGCCTGGTCAACAGAATCATTAAAGCCCAAACCTCAGCATCACACAATATACTCTTATAACAAACCTGCACATGTACCCTCTGAATCTAAAATAAGTTTATTTTGGACAGGCGCAGTAGCTCACACCTGTAATCCCAGCACTTTGGGAAGCTGAGGCAGGCGGATCACGAGGTCAGGAGATCGAGACTAGCTTGGCCAACATGGTGAAACCCCAACTCTACAGAAATACAAAAATTAGCCAGGTGTGGTGGTGGATGCATGTAATCCCAGCTGCTTGGGAGGCTGAGGCAGGAGAACTGCTTGAACCCAGGAGGTAGAGGTTGCAGTGAGCCAAGATCACCCCACTGCACTCCAGTCTGAGCCACAGAGTGAGACTCTGTCTCAAAAAAACCAGCATGCTATGATACCTTTATGTAAGTAAGAAAAGTAATCATACACTCCAGTACTTCTGTAATCAAAGACAGAAACAACTGCTGGACAGGATGTACAGAAACTGAAATCCTCATACACTGCTGGTGAGAATGTAAAATAGCACAGCCACTTTGGAAAAATGGCAGTTTCCCAAAAAGCTAAACAGAAAGTTACCAATGACTCAGCAATTCCACTTATAGGTATACACTTAAGAAAAATGAAAACATATAACCATATAAAAACTTGTACACAAATGTTCACAGCAACATTATACATAATAGTCAAAATGTGTCAAACAACCCAAATCCATCAACTGATGACTGGATGAACAAAATGTGGTATATCCATACAATGGAATATTATTCAGGCATAAAAAGGAATAAAGTAGGCTGCATGTGGTGGCTCACACTTATAATCCCGGCACTCTGGAAGGCAAAGGTGGGTGGATTACAAGGTCAGGAGTTTGAGACCAGCCTGGCCAACATAGTAAAACCCTGTCTCTACTAAAAATACAAAAATGAGTCGGACATGGTGGCAGGCACCTGTAGTTCTAGCTACTTGGGAGGCTGAGGCAGGAGAATCACTTGAACCTGGGAGGCAGAGGTTGCACTGAATGGAGATTGTGCCACTGCACCCAGCCTAGGTGACAGAGCAAGACTCCACCAACCCAAAAAAAGGAATAAAGTAATGATACATACCACAATGTGAATGAACCCTGAAAATGTATGCTAAATGAAAGAAGTCAGTCACAAAATGCCATACTACCTGTGCGTGGCAGTGCGTGCCTGTAATCCCAGCTACTCAGGAGGCTGAGGCAGGAGAACCACTTGAACCCAGGAGGCAGAGGTTGCAGTGAGCTATCACACCACTGCACTCCATCCAGCCTGGACAAGAGAGCAAGACTCAGTCTCAAAAAAAAAAAAAAAAAAAGCCATATGAAGTGTTCAGAAAAGGCAAATCCAGAGACAGAAAGCAGATTAATGGTTGCTGGGGGCTGGAGGAAGAGAGAAATTGGCAATGATACTAATAAACATGGAAATTCTTTTTTTTTTAATCATCTCCTGGATGTGGAGATTCTCTTTGGAATGATGAAATGTTGTGGAGTTAGACAGTGAGATAACTATAGAACTATGAATATATACCTGGCCATCCATATCCATGGATTCAACCAAGCAGACAAAAAGTATTCAGAAAAAATAAAAATAAAAAATAACAGGCCAGGCACAGTGGCTCATGCCTATAATCCTAGCACTTTGGGAGGATGAGGTAGGTAGATCACTTGAGGTCAGGAGTTCAAGACCAGCCTAGCCAACATGGTGAAACCCTGTCTCTACTAAAAATATAAAAATCATCCAGTCACGCGCCTGTCAAACCAGCTACTTGGGAGGCTGAGGCAGGAGAATCACTTGAATCCAGGAGGTGGAGGTTTCAATGAACCGAGATCATGGGCCACTGCACTCCAGCCTAGGCAACAGAGCAAGAATCCACCTAAAAAATAAATAAATAAGGCTGGGCGTGGTGGCTCACACCTGTAATCCCAGCACTTTGGGAGGCCAAGGCAGGCGGATCACGAGGTCAGTTTGAAACCAGCCTGGCCAACACATGAAATCCCATCTCTACTAAAAATACAAAAATTAGCTGGGCATGGTGGCGGATGACTGTAATCCCAGCTACTCCGGAGGCTGAGGCAAGAGAATTGCTTGAACCTGGGAGGCAGAGGTTGCAGTGAGCCGAGATCTTGCCACTGCACTCCAGCCTGGGTGACAGTGGGAGACTCCGCTTCAAAAAATAAATAAATAAATACAATAGAACAATAAACAACACAAAAAATCAATATAGCATAACTATTCACATAGCATTTACATTGTATTAGGTACTACCAGTAATCTAGAGATGACTTAAAGCATATGGGAGGATATATGTAGGTTATATGCAAATACCATTCCATTTTATGTAAGAGACCTGGGTATTTGTGGATTTTGGTATCTGCTGGGGTCCTGGAACCTATACGTCACAGATAACAAAGGATAACTATATTACTACTAAAAACTACTTAGCTACACGCTTTTTTCCTTTTTTTTTTTTTTTTTTTTTTGAGATGGAGTCTCACTTTGTCGCCCAGGCGGGAGATAGCAGTGGCACGATCTTGGTCACTGCAACCTCTGCCTCGCTGGTTCAAGTGATTCTCATGCCTTGGCCTCCTGAGTAGTTGGAATCACAGGACACACCACCACACCCAGCTAATTTTTGTATTCTTAGTAGAGATGGGGTTCCACCATGTTGGCCAGGCTGGTTTTGAACTCTTGGCCTCAGGTGATCCAGCCGGGTAGGCCTCTCAAAGTGCTGGGAGCCACCATGCCTGGCCAGATTACACACTTTTTTACAGATGAATCTCATGGTATGTGAACTATATCTCAACTTTAAAAATGTATGGATAAAAATGGAGAGAAATATAAAAAAAAACTTGGATTTGCTTGTATATGCAAAAAGAACCACTGGAAAAGTAAACCAAATAGGAAATAAAAAGTGGTTATACCTATAAGAGAAGGAGGGAGGGAAGAGGGTAATGAGACACCTATAATCAAGGCTTTTTTACCACATCTAGCTTTGACTTCACATATTTAAAAAACTTGAAAAAGAAGCTGAAGCAAATCTATATATCAGGCTGGTGATACATTAAAACAATGATTTAAAGCAGGCGTCCCCAAACTACGGCCCGCGGGCTGCATGCGGCCCCCCTGAGGCCATTTATCCGGCCCCCCGCCGCACTTCAGGAAGGGGCACCTCTTTCACTGGTGGTCAGTGAGACGAGCACAGTATGTGGTGGCCCTCCAACGGTCTGAGGGACAGTGAACTGGCCCCCTGTGTAAAAAGTTTGGGGACGCCTGATTTAAAGGGTATTTAAACATAGTATTTTACTGTATGTCCTTAATAGAAGATATTCTAAGAAAAACACAGCTACAAAAGTCTTAAACTTCATTCTCTAGAAAAACTGATAACAATATTGGCATTAT